CCTCCCCCATCCCGGAAGAGGTGATGCCCGCCTAGCCGGAGAAAGGCGCCGTCGAGTTCGACTTTTCAGGCTGCCTGGCGACTTATTTCCTATTTTCCGCCGGGGAACAGCCGGGAGTTCAAGGGCTCTGTCTGTCGGGTAACGCTTTGCCGGCTTTGATGCCTCTTCAGAAAGTTACATCGGTTTTCCTCCGTCCTTGCAATCCGAAGAGCATCACAGCGCCGGGTAATTGGGGAAGCCAGAGAAGGGCCGAAGGAGCCACGGGGTCTTTCGCTCCTTATGCTAGAAGCCTCTCGGCCTCCTTGTGTCGAATCTGTCAAGCCAAGGGAAGTGCTGGGAAGAACGGGAAGGCCAGGGCCAGCCTTTCTTCTGACGAGGAGCGTCAGGAGCCGCAGCGCAGACCGAAGACGTCGAAACAGACGGGCTCCCTGTTGGCAAAGGAGTGAAACAAGCCCGTGTATTATTTCTTCAGCCTATATGCAGAATGTATGCAGGTTGTGCCAGTGGTAAAATCTAACTTTTTTTTTTACTACCGGTTCTGTGGGCGTGGCAGGGGAAGGATACTGCAAAATCCCCATTCCCACCCCACTCCTGGGGCCAGCCAGAGATGGTATTTTCTGATTCTCCAAACTGCTCAAACTTTCCGGTACCGGTTCTCCAGAACCTGCTGGATTTCACCCCTGGGTTGTGCTCGAGAAACGATGAGCCACTTAACAACAAAGTTATGACCAATACCCCAAAATTATATGCAACCCCATTTCAAAGTTATGACAGCTACAGTGCCATTGTGGTCATTTGCCTTTACGGCAGACCATGAGAATGCTGCAGTGCCCTCTGCCTCTATTTCCCCCCAACCTCTCCCAATGGACCTATAGCACTCAGGCGTCCTCCCCGTGCCTCCTGGAAGCAGCCACCATTTCCAGGGCCCTGACAATTCTTTGTTAAAGTGGCGGCTGCTTTCAGAACTTTCTTCACTGATCAGCTTGCTTGTGGGAAACCTCTCCTGGTTCTTGCCTGGCTTTGGAAAGCCAACCTTCTTTAGGCAGCTTTAGGATGAGCTTCTCCCCATTGCAATTGTTAAGTGTAGCAGAGAGTACCTCGGTGTGGAGAGTCCCTGGGAGGCCTGGCACAATTCCTGACCCATACTGCAGTCCTCCCCAGCTCAACCCAGCAGGGTCTCTTACGCTTGGGCCTCCACCCCCCATCATGCTTTGTTCCACTTACCTCTTCTGAAGATCTCCTTTCAAAATTCTGCCCAACTGAGGCCATCTCGCGCCGTTCTGGAGGTGGCCTCCATTCACATGTTCTGTCAGAAGCACCCGCTTCCAGAATGGTGCCAGGCTGGCCTCTGCAGGAAGGCCACACATCACATTAGCTGATGCTGTGTTGAAAAAGTGATCTTGGAAAATCGCCTTTCTGAAGAGAATCAGCTGATGAATTGCAAGGCTTTGGGCCATTTCAGAAATGAGGGACATTTTGGGAGTCCCCACAATGCTTGGTTTGAGATAGCAGCTGCTTTTCAGAATGGCACTTGCTTCAGGACAGCACCAGGGAGTTTCTGTCTTAGTAAGGCCACGTATCACATTGCCCGATTCCCTTTGGGAAAAGCAATCTTCAGAAGAGGTAAGTAGAGCAATGTGTAGCAGAGGAAGGGAGACCCAAGGCCAGATGGGAAATAGACCCAAGAAATCCAACAGGGCAAGAGAGAGAAGATAGGTGGGTGTGAGGCAGTTGTAGCTTCCCACTTTGTCAAGCATACAAATTGTGGTCATGCGATTGTGGGAGTGCTAGAGCAGCCATAATCTGGGGTACAGGTTATAAATCCTTCTGTTCAGCACCAGCATAATTGCAATGTTCATTAAAAGATAGCTTGTAAATTAAGGATTACCTATAGACTTCCTATGTTCATCTGTAGGTCAAAGTACAGTGTTCTAGGTGGCAAACACAGCAAATGCTGAATTTCTATGTTGTCTCCTTGAAGTTTTAAGTAAGATAGACTCAAAATTCAGAAGGACTTTGGCAGATTTAGCAGCATTGGGCCCTATGCAGTTTGACTCTGGGACCCGATGACGTGGACAGGATTCTGGGGAGACTTAGTGCGGCCACATGTCTACTGGACCCGTGTCCCTCCTGATTAGTACTGGCTTCCCGGAAGGTTACACGAGGCTGGCTCCAGGGAATTATCAACGCTTCATTGAGTGAGGGTTACTTCCCCACGGCCTTGAAAGAGGCAATGGTGAGGCCTCTCCTCAAGAAGCCTTCCCTGGACCCGGCAGTATTAGCCAACTATCGTCCTGTCTCCAACCTCTGCTTTGTGGCGAAGGTTGTTGAGAGTGTGGTCGCACGACAGTTTCTGCAGTACCTGGAGGAAACGTCTTATCTAGATCCGTTCCAGTCAGGTTTCAGGCCCGGGCACAGCACGGAAACGGCATTGGTCGCATTGGTAGATGATCTCTGGAGGGCTCGGGACAGAGGTTGCTCCTCTGTTCTGGCCCTGTTAAACCTCTCAGCGGCTTTTGATACCATCGACCATGGTATCATGCTGCACCGGTTGGAAGAGTTGGGGATGGGGGGCACCATGTTATGGTGGTTCTCCTCCTTTCTCTCAGACTGGTCGCAGTTTGTGTTGACAGGGGGCAGAGGTCAACCTCGAGGCCTCTCATATGTGGAGTGCCTCAGGGGTCGGTCCTCTCACCCCTTCTGTTCAACATTTATGTGAAGCCGCTGGGCGAGATCATCCGTGGCTTTGGGATGAAGTACTATCAGTACGCTGATGACACCCAGCTGTACATCTCCACCCCAGGCCACCCCAACGATGCCCTTGAAGTGATGTCCCAGTGCCTGGAAGCTGTGCTGATCTGGATGGGGAGAAACAGGCTCAAGCTCAACCCTTCCAAGACTGAGTGGCTGTGGTTCCCGGCATCCCAATATAGTCAGTTGACTCCATCCCTGACTATTGGGGGCGAGTCTTTGGCCCCCTCGGAGAAGGTGCACAATCTGGGAGTCCTCCTGGATACGCAGCTGTCCTTGGAGGAACATCTGACGGCTGTAGCCAGGCGGACTTTTTGTCAGGTTCGCCTGATCCGCCAGTTGCGGCCCTTTCTTGATCGGGATTCCCTGTGCCCAGTCACTCACGCCCTCGTCACCTCTCGCCTGGATTACTGCAACGCTCTCTACATGGGGCTCCCCTTGAAGGGCACCCGGAGGCTCCAACTGGTCCAGAATGCGGCCGCGCGGGTAGTTACGGGAGCTGCTTGGCGCTTCCATACAACACTTCTCCTGCGTGAGCTGCACTGGCTGCCAGTGGTCTTCCAGGCACGCTTCAAGGTGTTGGTTATCACCTTTAAAGCGCTCCATGGCATAGGACCTAGATATCTTCGAGACCGCCTGCTGCTACCGACAGCCTCCCATCGACCTGTGCACTCCCATAGAGAGGGCCTCCTCAGGGTGCCATCAGACAAACAATGTAGGCTGGTGACCCCCAGGGGGAGGGCCTTCTCTGTGGGGGCACCCACCCTCTGGAACCAGCTGCCCCCAGAGATAAGGAGAATCCAAGACCTCCGTGCCTTCCGCCGTGCCCTTAAAACCTTTTTTCCAGCAAGCCGGGCTGGCCTAACACTTTTTAAAATGTTTTTAATTGTTTTGTCATTGCTTTTAATTATGGGACCAAATATTTATATATCTTTTTAATTGTATTTTAATGTTTGTAGTTTTTGTTTTTACTTTGGCTGTACACCGCCCTGAGTCCTTAGGGAGAAGGGCGGTATATAAATTTGATATAAAATAAAATAAATGCAACAAGCTCAGTGGTGAGAAAAGCAAAGTCCTGCACTTAGGCAGGAAAAACGAAATGCACAAGTGTAGAATAGGGGCTCAACAGTAAACTGTGAAGGGGATGTAGGTGTCCTATGGGCCACCGTTAAGTATGAGCCAGCAGCATGATGCAGCCACCAAAAAAGCCAATGCAGTCCTAGGTTGCATCAGCAGAGGGATAGTATAAAGCTAATGAGGCTGCGCTAGTGAAGCCACACTTGGAATACTGAGTCCAACTCTAGTCACCACTGTAGAAATCAGGTCCAGTCATTTGCTCTGTGCAAAGATGTCTCTCTCCTTCACAGTGTTTATTGCTTTTTATAGTTTTTTACAAGCAGAAAAGGCAAACCAGCAACAGCGTTTTAATTGGTAATACTATTCGCCCCCCTTAAGATGCCATCATCCTGATGGTGAAGGCAAGGTGAGATAATGCAGATCAGAGCCAGAATGAGATCATACAAGCAGGCAAGATACATAGCATCTGAGGCGAGGCAGTTTGCTGCACACAGCCTGACACCATAACCATTTACCTCTACACACCACGATACAAAAAAGATGCTAAGGCCCTAGAAAGTGCATAGTGAAGAGGAATAAAGATAAGGGGCCTTGAGGCTTGCCTTTTGGGTTTGTGGATGCTCCATTGATGGAGGTTTTCAAGAAAATATTGACAAGGAAGGTATAAGGTCTGCCTGCCTGCTGGATTAGAAGACCTCCAAGATCCCTTGCATCCCTATGATTATATTAAGCTGCTGTTTTTTATATTCTGCAGACTAAAAGAAATTGGAGATGAAAATATTATGAAAGAAAACAGTGGAGGCCTCCATATGAGAAATGAGTGCTCTGATTCCCATTTGACTCCAGCCTCCTGCTGCACCTGGCTGAGATTCTGGTCCAGATGGCCTAGGATACTTCCAGCAGTTTAAACTAGCTCCCACAAAAGCACACTGGAAGAAGCAGGTGAAAAAGAATTGGGATATCCTGCTGCTCCCTGTTCAAGCAGAGGCAAAAGGTGTTCCAACTTTAGTTGTTTTGTAGTCCAATGTCAGTGCTCCCCCTCTTGTTGACTGGAGGCCCACAGAATGGCTCGGCACGCTTTCTGCCATCTAAGTGAATGGCATGGGAATTGGCATGTATCTTCTCCCCAGTAATTCATTTATTGAAGAAAGAAATCATTCATAGGCACCACATTTAAATAAGCATTTAATATTTAATTGCTACTAATATTGCCTTCAATTAAAAAATTATTTTCTAATTCCTTGCAGATATTTCAAAGTACAATATTAATTTTATACAAACTGGAGCAGGTAGCAAACCCTATTTCACATTTTACATTCTTCAAAAATACAACTTTGTTTATTCTTCTGGTGTTTTGGAAAGCTCTTCCTTTGGAAGTACTGTACCTATAGTGAGCATCTTCACATCACTCAATGCACAGATATTTGATCCCAGGTTTCATAGTTAAACTAAATGTGCTTAAACATAATATAGGTACTCCTGAGAGAAACAGGTTACTTCAAATTCTCCCCATCGTGTCCTCCGAGGTTGTGGAGTTTAGCCATAGCAACACTGAGGCAGGGTTCCCACAACATGCATAACCTGATCTTTCAATTCACCCAATTCACAGACCACCTCAAATCATGAGTTAACACAATGGGTTGATCAATTACCAACCGAAGACTAACCAAACTGTAGCAGTTGTGCATTGCAGTGGTTAAGCCTTTCATAAACTGGCTAACCTTCCATGAAACCCAGCCAGAGTCTGATCATGAAGATTTAGATCACAGTCCAAAAGTGAAGGGGACTCAGGAAGGCACTTTCAAAAATTATCTGAGAACCTTTGGAGTCTCCAGGCTCCTTACTCTAGGAAGCAATCAATCGTTCTTTGTGGGAAAGTGCCTGCTGGAAAAAAGGAAGGAAATCACTTCTCTTCAACTAAAGGGTTTTCTCTCCCCCCAACTTGCACAAGTTGATGTTTTTCTCCCCGACAGGAAAAGGTGCATCTGAAACTTTCATGGTTGGAACAATGGGAGATACCTATTTCCTGGTATGCCTTAATCCTAATTTGGACTAATCCAAAATCGGAAGAGAGGCTTAGACTGTTTTCTGATATTCAGTAGAGTCCCACATCTAGCTCCACTCCTAAATCCTGACACTGGCTAGATAAAACGTACTTTGTCTTTTGCCCACATCATCTAAGCCAGTATCTTAGTATTTGGAAAGAAATAACACTGCAAAACAAAAGAAAAAACTTCAAATAACATATTTCAAAATAAGAACAACAACAATAATCATTCTTCCCTGGACTTTACTAGTGAAGACTGTATGTGGGAAGAAAAACTAAAACACCCAAGTGATAAGGAAAATATAATGCATTTACTTGAAAGTGTCCACTGCATAGAAACTGGGTTTGGCCGGCGTGCACACTATTGAAAACACAGTGTGGATAACATACCATTTCCACCCATTTTCACAAACACACAGACACACCATACATAAAAATATCCAGTTTCCTTGGCATTTTTCAGTGCAGAACAGACTCCAAAGCTCAGAAACAATAAACAATGCAGAAGTTGAAAAACCAGCCCTCACTAGCAGGAAATATTGGCTAAAAACAGAAGATGCTATTTTTAGACTTGAAGCGAACGCAAAGGATATGATAGGAGAGTAGCATTTACATCCTGGTCCAATAGAGGCTCCAAACAAGATTTCCTGTGCTTTAATAGATAAGAACTCACCAATGTTACTGCCATCTCTTCCAAGATTAACCTGTCTCTTGGTGGTACCTTGAAATTTTGGAACGTCTTGGAAATAAGGCAGGCAGGTGGCAGCAGGGCACCGTCTTCAGAACAGCTTCATGACCAGCGAAGAGCAGCCTGTTCCCTCCCTTATGAGGAGCAGGACAGAGCTGAGAAGGTCTCCAAGCAGTGACAAAAACTGGAGAGATTCTTATCTTACCAAGTCCGTTCAGCTCAGGCTACTAATGGAGGTTTTGCATAGACTGGACATTTGCTTAAAGATGCGTAAGTCAGAAAAGGGCAGGGTGATGGTTTTGCGCCCCTTCCATCGATCCCACATAAACACACTTGTGCGCATGCACGCACATATACAGACATATAACCACACTCACAGAGTGCATGTGGACACTTCTAGTTAAATGTATTGCACTGAAGTTAAGTACTTTTTTTTTTGCACATCACATACTTTTTTACTCAGAACAAAAAGGAGGGAAATACCCAAGGACTGTGAACAGTTATTTACAAATGACATTGCAGCCGTCAGCTGAAAGAGAACTAAAGTGCATTTTAGAGGCCAGCAAGTGTAACTAGATCAGCCCCAGTGAACTATATTCCTTCCCTAAACTTAAATAGCAGACGCAACTGCCAGAAAACACTAGACTCCAGAGCAGGTTTTTCTAAAACTTAGTCATTTCCATGTTCATGAACTACAATTTCAGAATTCCCCAGCCTGTATAACCACTGCTGAGAAGTCTGAGAGTTGAAGTCCATATCCCAGAAACTGACTACTTGCCCTGCTCTAATAACTTGCTCCCACCCTCAATACACAGCTGAGATGAAGTCCACTGGGACTCTTTACTCCCTGGAGTCTTGGTACAATTAAGTTACTCAACCCTCAGCCCATAAGCAGCCCACAGGCTCAGCTGGCTCCCAAAGTCACGAGGGGGCAGGAGGTGGGGGCAACCTTTCCAACAGGCAGCATCAAGCAAAGGGAACGCTCTTATAACACGTGATCAAAATCCACACAGGGACATGCTAGTCTAAGCCCCACCCCAACTGACAGTAGAGTAGCTCTCCAAAGTTAACAAGAAGCACCGTAACTACACAAGCCTCACAGGCAAGGGCAAGGTCCAGGAGGCTCTCGTCTGTGTTTAGCTTAGGAGGGAGTGGAGCATCAGAAATGCCCATGGACTGCAGACAGTCGCAGAGGAACAGCAACCAACCGGCTTGTCCCGCTGCAAAAGCAGCACTGGAACCTGCAAGGTGCCTTGCAAGGCCTTGCAGTCGCCTCCACTCCACAGCCACGTCACGGTGGCAATGACCCTGCTTCTTCCACCTCTGCTTTGTGACCACCCTGCCTGCCTCTCAGCTTGAGAAAAGCTCTTGGAGGGGCATTCTGAGCAATGGGCATTTGTCCTGGGAACAAAAGAGGATTACTAGAAAAACCAAACACAGTGGATGTGACAAAATAAAAACATGTACAAAACTTTAGAAAGGAGACTTCCCAAAACCGTCCAGGCATTCTATGCTGGGATTTTACCCTGAGTAAGTTAAGAGAGAAAAGGCGTCCTTCCCCGATGGGGCAGGTAGGCTGTCTCACTGCACCCCAATAGTCTGCTGAAGGAAGGACAGTCTGCTTTGCCAGACCAAGAGCTGGATTGCTCCTCAGTCTCCACTGGACCAACGCTGAGACCCCTGAGCACTTCTCTGAACCCCCTAGAGTCAGCCAATCTAAGAGGAACGTTTTCTAGCAAGAGCTGCTCCATGCTGAGAGAGTCATTCTGATAAAGCTGAACAGTGCAAATCCTTTTAGCCCCTGAATTCATGTAAACACCCATGCAGTGCACTTGGTTGCCAAGAAGGGCAGAAAGGTAAGATGAAAGAGCCAGCAGCCCTTTTACTCATGTGCAAAGTCTGATCGTGATGCGCACCCTTTGCCTTCTACAGCTAGCAGACAGAGGAGGCCATGGGGAGGGCATCTCCACGCCTCTCTGCTTCTGCTGCTGCTAGGAGAGGTCCCACCCCACCCCCCACCCCCGTCTCCCTGTTTTCACACAAACATTGACTTCTTTCCCCTCCCTGCTTACAGGGTCCCTACCCTGAATCACCCCCAGGCCTAGAAGCACTCCGTTCCACCCTCCTGAAAGCAAGGTGCAGCCCCCGCCCTGCCCACCCCTCCTTCCAAAGTGACCAATTCCTACGCTCACATTGCTATGAGCCAAAGTGACAAACCAGGCAGAGCCGCCATGGCTGCATCTCCTCTTGGGAGAAAGGGATCCCATGACACGTTCCGGGGCAGCTGGCCCTGACCCATCTCTGCTGCTGCTTTCCAGGGCTTCCCTAAGGGAAGTTGCTGCCCAAGGCAAGTCCTTCTTCCCCTTGTAAGAGAGGTTCAAGGGGAACGAGAGTAGAGGCCATCTCCAGGCTCTGGAGAGAAAGAAAGCGGGAGGCCTCCATGGCACTTAGGGACTGGTTCTGGGACCCAGGCGGGTGGCTCTGCTGGCCAGCAGGAGGCAACACAGATGAACAAGTAGCAGTAGCAGTGGACGTACTGGCCACCGTCCTGGGGAAGTCCTGTGGCCCTAGTGCCGGGGGATTCCCCGAGGTCTTCGAGAAGAGGGAGGCACAGTCTTTGCTGCCGGCTTTCTCCTTGCTTGTGTCTCGGCAGGCGCACTGGCATTGGCACACCTCTTCCTGCTTGATGATGATCACAGGCACGCTCAGGCCAATCTGCTGCACCGGATTCCCTGGAGAGAGAGAGAAAGCTATCACTCCATGGAGAGGCCCCAGCTGCTTCTCTGAGAATGGCCCATGAAGCCAGGCTCAGAGAAAAGGCTCTTCTAGGAGGGCCGTTCCCATGCCCATCACTGCTGCTAAATAGCAACATCGCCTCCCTCTAGGTAGCTCCGCAAGCTTGGAGCTGCTGCTAAGGTCAGACATCTCAGGCTGCAGCCTGAGCTCGGCTGCTCTTCCCGAGGCAGAAACTGCATTATCTAGCATCAATTCCATGCTCATGGAAATAAATATCCTTTCAACCCACAGGTTTGCTGCTCTCCTTAGCGAAGCCCCTAATGTCCCCTCCCTCTCTCAGAGTGTATGGTGGGGCCCCCCGTTTTGCATTAGTAAGAAGGACACCTATCAATCAGTGGGCTTCCCGCAGGAAGGAGATGCAGAGAGCCTCAAATCACATGGCTCAAGACCAGAGTCCTCTGGTCAGACCCCCCACCCCCAAATCCTCCCTGCCATTCTCAGCAGATTTTCTTTGGGGAGGGGTGGTGGTCAAAGAATGTGGAGTTCAGGCCGTGTGGCTTACCTGCACCACCAGTCACAGGGAGAGCAGTTGTGAAGAAGACCTTCTCTACAACAGGAGGCTGTGGCTTGGAAAGAAAAGCGGGGGTGGGGTGGGGGGTTAAGCCTGTGAGGAGAGAGGTTGCGGCTCCCTACAGTGTTATAAAGATCACTGCAGAATACTCTGAGATCTTGTAATCCTACACAGCTCTGACCACACAACCCCCTCAAGCCTCTGAGACTTACCATTTGTTCCTGGTTCTGCAGTGTCCCAGTGGCACCATTTAAAATCCACTGGAGGTTTTGTTCTCCCATAATGATGCTGGACTGAAAAATGGCTGGGTTTTGTGAGGGGGCGACGGTAACCCTGGGATTGCTGGGCAGCGCAGGGCCCCCTCCCACGGGCACAGTCTGAACTCCGCTGGGCAGGACTTCAGGGGCACCTGCAGCTGCGGGTCCAGAGGTGACCTCTGAGACTCCAGGAAGCCCAGCTCCAGTGGGCTGTGCAGAGCTCTGAAGGTGGTGCAGGAAGCCCTGGGGATTGGCTGCCAAAAGTGTACTGTTAGAAGGAGGCACTTCTGGAGGCTGCAGGAGACTGGCAGGGGTGCTGTATGCTGCTGGCTGAGCACCCGTGGATGCAGGAGGCAGTGCTTGGAGGGAAGGCTCAGAAATGCCAAGCTGGAGAACAAGCGGCAGAGATAAGGGCGCAGACTCTCCTGATGCTGGCTGGGCTGGTGGAGCTAGCTGGGTATCGCCATCAAAATCTCCCATCAAGGCATCTGTCAAACAAGCATAGGGACCATCAAATCTCTATCCTGAGACCTGCCCTGGGGTGTGTGTGTGTGATCCTGATGGAACCCAGGAAAATCACAGCTGGATGCTCTCACAGCTGCATGGGAAAGATGCCCCTCTCTTAAACTTTGCCCTGCTTCCTTCCGAGTGTTGTGACCTAGGCTTCCTGAGTAGTCCTAAAAACCTCTTTTATTGCAACAGCTGTGAATTACGTTCATTCACAGCTGAGTCCCAATTAGTTGCAAAGTGTCCTTTGGGATAATCACCAACCTTTATCTCCCTTGACACGCTGCCAAAGATCTACTTGGCAAAGCCACACGGATTCCAGAATCAAACAGAGATGCCGACTGGGAACAGAATTAACAACATTGCTTTCCTGCACAGAGCCCACGTCTTTGTTCCTCTTTTAAACCTTATGGGAGGGACCAATCATCTCCAGGCCTTACTCCCGAGTCATCCCTTTAGTTTTAAATGTTCTTTCCTTCTGGCAGCTCTGCGCATGCGCACACTAGGAACAGACTCCTGTTCCTCTGGCTCTCTGATATCTGACTCTGGAGGCTCTGGAATCCGCGCATAACTTCCAGATGGCCCTGGCCCCATCTCTGCCTCCGACGCAGGTTCGTCCGAGCCTTCCCCAGACTCCAGGACTGGCCCATGTTCCTCCCCAGCCTCCTCACTGTCCGACTCCGCTGCCAGCTCCAAAGGCTGCTGGCGGACCACAACACTGAGAGGTCACACTATTGTGCCTACACTACTCTGGTAAAGCAGGCCTGTATACATCCAACCTCAGTCTGCCTGTGGCAACATTTTCCTTCCAGGCAGTCCAGCCCAAAGATTCCTCACTGCTACCAAAGAACACCTTTCTTCATCAGAGCATTAGATGCACAGCACATGGAATCTCTCCTTCTATTCACAGATACAGTTTCCGTAACTGCACTGGGCTCTGAGAGGCTGCCAAGCCAGTTCTTTTTGAGCCTTGGACAGTTTGCTCAGATCTGAAGATAACTGCTAATATGATGTTGCCAAGTGAACTTGTACCTGTGTGCTGAGAGTCTTCCTGATTTGGAGGAGGCTCCGGGCTCTGGAACATCGACTCGAAGATGCTTGCTGGTGAGATTGTACTCAGGTCTTGTCTATGTGTCTACATAAAGGAAACAGTCGTAAGGCATCCCAGCTCAGTGATCTGGTGCCCAAGCTCAGCGCCAGCACTGGCTCTAGGCCCAGGTAAGATAACAAAGAGCAGGCTGTTCGCAGTACTCTGCTGGAGAAATCCAATAAGCCAGCTTGCTTTCTGCAGCATGATAGACAAGTATCATTGACTGGAGAGCACAGTCCTCCTCCAAAGAGATGGCAAGAGGCTACTTATATACCAGACACCCTCTACTGGGCTATTATAACCAAAGGCAAGAGATGCTTACTGGATCTGAATTATCCCGCAGTTCTGAATCTGTGGACATAAGGCTTAAGTCGCTCAGGCAGAGTGAGTGGTTTGTATCCTGCAGAAGAGGAGAGGGAGCCTGAATTAAGCAAAGGAGCATTCAGAACAAAGCAGGGGAACTGAGTGCCTCCTGCCCCATTCTGGTCAATCACATCCAACACAGCCAATGGTCCAGAAGGCCAAAATCTCCTAAACCCCAAATTACAGCCACAATTGTGAGTCCATCTCTGATGTCACACTTTTCAATTGTCATCAGACCCTTCACTTCAGAATATGCAGTAGTCAGCACCGACCAAAGATTCTTCTGGTTTTTGTAAAACACAAGGGGTTGCTCAATGAGAGTTTGGAGCAGAAGAGAACTACAGAAAACGGCACAAGTGATGAACCTGCCATGGATTCTACAGTGAATTGCCCAACTCCAAGGAAGGAGCCAGCAACTTTAGAGGGGGCCAAATCAAAAGAAAAAGGCATGGAGAGAGAGAACATTGGCAAGTCGAAGTAGGAGGGATTTGACTTCCTTATTTTTACAAGCATGATTTTGAGATTATACAAAAATAAAATGATTATTTACTTATACTTGTATGCCACCCAACTCTCAAATGACTGAGCAGCTCACAACAATCAAAGAAGTTAAAACATTTATCTGAACTTATATGTTCCTATAATGGTATGATGGAAAGACCATGGGGGATCATGTGAAGAGAGGATGCCTAGGGAAGAAAGAGCCTTCCAATAAAAACAGGCATAGCCCACAGCTGCATAGTGAGCAGAGCAAGAGGCTCCAAAGGAACCCTCCCTAAATTCTCAGATTATACAGATGATAGTGGGAGAATTGTACTTTTAGACCTGCAAGATTCGGTTAATGTAGCCTTACAACAAAGTAGAATTAGCTCATCTGGTATGTTTTCTGTCTGATCTCCCTGGTAAAGCTGATGCTATCCAGCAGCAATGAAATGACAATAAAATCAATAAAAAAATAAGGATCAAAGATGCCAAGCACAATGAAGTGATTTGTTTCCCTCACCAAAGGCCTACGTAACCCAAAAGGAGGTAGGAAGGATGGCCCACCACTCCTTCCTATCCTTTCCTCTGGAAATTCAGATTTACAGTCTCTTTGAAATATTGATCAGACTTGTGGAAGCCCTTGTCATTCAAATAATTTTACAAGAGATGTATGGTTCGTTTACTTCAACAAAAACACTTATTGTTGCAGATTGAAGACTAAAATCAGATTATATTTCTTTAAGTTGTCATGGGTATTGGTATTTTATTATTACGAAGCAAATTGTTAGCCTAAACAGAGAGGGTCAAATATTTCTTTGCAAAGTGGCAAATAAATGACAACAGTGATATCCTTGAATTCTAAATAAGTCCCACAAAACAAGTTGCTTCCAAAGTGACTATTTTCTTCATTAAAAGCAATTGAAAAGTTAAAATGTCAGTTGGTAAAAAATAGGTTTAAACACTTCCTATATTGCAGTCAGATATAGTTGCTTTTTTAAAATCATGTTTTGTTTTGTTTTGTTTTGTTCTCATTGTCAGCAAATTTCTCCTTAATTCTAGATTGGTTCTCTGGATTCGTTTTTTTCCTGCCTTTGGAGAATCCTCTCTTCTTTGTGGCAACCCCTCAAATATTGGAACACTGCTGTCATGTCACCCTAGTTCTTCTTTTCATTAGACTCTAGACATACTCAATTCCCGTAATCGTTCTTGTGTTTTAGCCTCCAGTCTCCTAATCATCTTTGTTGCTCTTCTCTGAAACCTTTCGAGCGTCTCAACATCTTTTTTTATATTGTAGCAATGGAAAGTGGATTCAATATTCCAAGTGTGGGAATAGTGTGCAACACTCTGCAGCTGCCAAAAAGGGGTTGTCCACCTGAACTCCTAGATCCCTCTCACAGTTACTGCTATGAGCCAGGTATCACCTATTCTATACCATTGCATTTTAGATTTTTTTATTTTTTTTTTGCCTAAGTGTATTTTATTTTTTTAGCTAGGGTCCAGTGTGTTCCAGTCTGTCAAAATCCTTCTGGATCCTGAGCTTATCTTGTGGGGTGTTGGCTATTCCTGCCAGCTTGGTGTCATCTGCAAATTTGATGACTTCCTTTTATCACCTCATCTGAATCATTTATGAAGATATTGAAAAGCACTGGGCCAAAGACAGAAGCTTGAGGTACCCTCCTGCATGCTTCCTGCCATGTAGATGCAATTCCATTAAGGACTACAGGTGGAGATGATTACTAATCCATCTGGTGGTGATACTATCTGACCCACATTTTTCTGTCATATCGAATAACAGATTGTGGTCTACTTTTCAAATGCCTTACTAAAGCCCAAATAAATTTTTTCCACAGCAGTTTGCTGGTTCACTAATTTAATCACTTCATCAAAGAATGCAATAAGGTTTGCCTGGCATGATCTGTTTTTGACAAACAATTGTTAATTTGATTATAAATGTGCTTCTCTCTAAGTGATCACAGATTTGATGATTATTTATTCCAGAGAAGTCTCACTGCTTTTAAAAGTCCATTGCCATACTGGCTGTCACTGATAGAGCAGTATATAATAAATCATATCTATCCCAAATCCCCATTCTAGCTTTAGTTCCATATATTTTACTTCATTTTGCACTATTTTAGGAACATGCTTATGAAACTGGTGCTTCATTACAGATAATCTAGTATCTAATACTGTCTGCTGCAATTAGGAGTAACTAGCCCTGATGATGTTATCTAGTTCGGGTAATGAAATGTCTGAAAGAAAATAATCAAGCTCAGAGAGCACCAAGGACCCCTCATTTCAACCCTGAGCTACCAGTATTCTCCCTTATTGGTATTCAGTAATGTACTTGGGGGACGCAGTGGCTCAGTGGCTAAGACGCTGAGCTTGTCGATCAAAAGATTGGCAGTTCAGTGGTTCAAATCCCTGGTGCCGCGTAACAGGGTGAGCTCCCATTACTTGCCCCAGCTTCTGCCAACCTAGCAGTTCGAAAGCACATAAAAAATGCAAGTAGAAAAATAGGGACCACCTTTGGTGGGAAGGTAACAGCATTCTGTGCGCCTTTGGCATTTAGCCATGCCAGCCAAATGACCACGGAGACGTCTTCGGACAGTGCTGGCTCTTCGGCTTTGAAACGGAGATGAACACCGCCCCCTAGAGTCGGGAACAACTAGCACATATGTGTGAGGGGAACCTTTACCTTTACCTTATACATGAAAAGTCCTGGATGTAAGGAACAGATGTGGAAACTGCTTGAAACAGAATTATATTCAAGTGTGTGAATTCACACAAAAAGTGGAATGATGATGAGAAAGTGGCTGTGGATGAAGGGAAAGCAGCATCCAAGTGAGTAACTGTTAGAAAAACTGAGGATGAGAAAAAGATACTTTAATAATTAGAGAGAAAGACAGTATGCAGTCAAAAAAGACAAAGTAAGGGTTAAATTAAACAAGCAGGAAAATGTAGAATGTTTTTGGTGTAAATAAAAAAAAAACTCTTTTGAAGGTGGATCCAAGAAGTTAAAGAAGGAACAAAGTGAAATGAAATTAAAAATAAAAATGATGAAATTATTTGGGATGCAACTGAGGTTATACCATAAGTCATATTTTGGAGTTTTCTATGGAAATTACAGTGATATATATAAAAAATGGAATTCAAATAAATGCTGTAATTGTTAATGTCCAAGAAAAAATGGATGAAAAGGAAAAATTCAATAGTAAGAATGCTGAGAAATTGTACATAAAGGATGTGGATGATATTATACTTGAAGAAATGTTAAAATATGGCTTCAATAGCTATGCAACTTTTTAATTGGATTCAGGATTCACGTCTGGTTATGGGACAAAATCAGCACTGGTCGCACTTACTGATGATTTCTGGCAAGCGAGGGATGATGTTACTGCAAACATCTTTGCTCTCCCTGACCTCACAGCAGCCTTCAATACCATTGGCCATGGTATCCTTTTGGGCCACCAATGGGGTTGGGGGCCCAGTGGTGCAGTTTTGCACTGCTTTGACTCCTTTCTCCAGTCCCAATCAGTGTTGATAGGGAGTGAGAGATCCACTATCAGAGCACTAGATTGACAGATAAGCACAATTCAAAGCGCACTGGCAACGTCTCCTCGAATTGTGATGAAACGTTTGCAACTAAATTGCCAAGCTCGGAGCTCAGACCAACAGCCCAACTACCAACTCAAGCTACTTATATTCAAATACATTTCAAGGTATTGAGTCAAAGAAGAATGGCAGAGGCTTTGCCCACTGTTTCAGGTAAGGGTTAGTGACACACCTTCCCTTTTGAGGCCTTCATATCTTGCAAGATCTTGCCTCCTGAGGGTCGAGATGCTTTTAATCTCCTGGACTCTAGGCAGATACTCAAGACCTGGAGTATTGAGTATTGGGTCCTATAGGGTGAGGGCTGGCATAAGTAATAAATTACTTAGTAGCTTTTTATGTCTGTGTTAGCTGTCTTGAATTTATTGAAATGGGCTGTGTATTAAATATTGTATAAATTATTTTTTTCAATAACCAACCTCTAAGGCCCTTCTCATCTTAGTTGTTGATAAGCTTCAATTTGTCAATGCAATGCTGAGAACTGGAAACTCTACTCTGTCCATAGTCTTACTCTTTCCACTACCCAATGGATTCCCCTGCCAGTATTCCTGCTTGTTCTCCTTGTTCATTCATTCAGTTCTAGCTAGATTTTCTGTGGATCCTGCTGGAATTAAAAGAATAAAGTTGAGACTATGCAGTAAAGCCTCAGTTTTACCGACCCCAATACAGGCAACTTCATGGGCAATGGGCAAAATCTGAAATTGGATTTTGCTCCAGAATAATAGACAATCTGTTTGATAAAGCAGATTGGAGAACCATTGCTTCTGCACATTTGCAACTGTGGTATCCCCTGTCCATGTGTTTTGTCTCACATATTGATAGAATTTTAAAATAAAATTGGCATCATTTGCAAATATTTTATAAATATTGTTTAATCTGCAGTGGCTCTAAAGGCAGTCAAAAAAGAAATAGAGCATCACACATTCCAATCAAAAATTAGTATTGGTTGAAAAGTCCGAATTGGGATGAGCACTGGAGAATGGTATAAAGAAACAGTGTTTGATATTTGTTAAGAAAAATATATGCTAAAGAAAAATTTACAATATAAAGCTACTAATAATACAGCTGAAATTGGAGCAGGACAGTTCAGGCAAGAAATCATGAGAATGGTGCAAACGAGAGCTCTCATCAAAGCAGTGTTGAAATTATAAGCAGGCAAAAAGATCAGCAGGAAAAAGATTTGGGTATTTATATTGATGGATCACACAGTGACATAAGTCATATTTAGCAAATTGTGTTAGCAAGGAGTGCTGAAAGACCTAATTCATCCTTTGCCACCTAGATACTATAATTTAGAGGAAGGATGGCTTATATAGTCTATTTTCAGGACTGAATCATCCATAACTTCGCCAGAAGTCAGAAAGTGGTATCAAGAGGAGGTGCTGAAGATGTCCCTTGGAAACATGGAGCCTGTTGACAATGTTCCCATTCATTCTTTGGGGAAAATGTACTCAAAAAGTTTACAATGTAAGTGCATAGTTTTGCCCGCTAAAATCAATTACCTATCCTATGAGCCAGAGACTGATTTTGTCGAATAAAACATTTTAGATGAAGAAACAGTTGGGTTGGTGGGCAATCTGAAGAAGAAACAGACATAAGAGGGCCTTAGATACTACTGCTCAGTCAGAAATCTTCCAACTTCGCTACAGTTGGAAAGCAGTCAAAATTCCAATGTTGGCAAACAGCTGGGGAAAAGAGCTGCTCTGTGATGCGAGGCAGAATTGCAGTTGAAGGAATGGGAAAAGGAAAACCATTGAACTCACACTGCTTAGAAGATGAAGGGATAGCAGGTTGGATACTTCTAGAGGCTATGCCAGCGAGAAAGAGGAAGACGAGGGATGAGGAGGAAAAGGAATTGCCAATCCCAAAACAAAGTAGCGATCATACTCAGTGACAGGTTTTCCTGACTGCTCCTCTGATCACAAAACCCAGCCTTCAGGACATAAGCTGAAGCACCATGTTTCCAAATATGGGTGAAATTGGATACTTTCTTCAAACTAATCACTAACATTGGCTTTTTCATGATAAAAAATAAAGTTGAGTTGGTTTCTCAGATAAAAGTGTGTTTGTTGTGGTAAAAAATCACATTTGCCATTCAATGAATAATTGGCTTTATAGAAATTCCATTCTCCTTAACTGGTCCGTTGAATCAAAGTTTCATGACAAGTTGCTTAATGACTGTTCAAAATTACCACAGGCCCAGAATGGGTGCATTACAGTCTGCAAAGCACCTGGTCATTGCAAAATATCATCCCCTCCCCCGATCACATGACATTTTGGGTGCCCGATAACTGGCTCACCTTTGCAATTGGTTGCGGTATCCCATAGTCATGACTGGGATCTGTGATTTTATTTTATTTTTTGGCCTGTTTCTGGCAAGAAACATAGATTCAAAAGAATGACTTCACACTTATGACTGCAGTATTTGGTTAACAATGGTGGATTTGCTTAATAACTGCAGTGATTTACTTAATGACCACTGTAAAAAATGTTGTAAAAGTGGGTACATTCACCTGGGTGTCTTAACTGTAACCAGAATTTCCAGAAATCCAGTCCCAAATGCAGTCTAAGGTCAAGGACTACCTATATTTATATTTATTTTTTTATATGATCCAAAGTCCTAGCATCAGAAATAAATATTATCTTACAGTACTGTTCAGATCTAATTATCAACCTGTTTTGGAGGCAGAGTATTGCTTGACACTCATACTTCCTTGTGAAATTTCAGCTGCAAAGATTGCAGGAGCTGGACTTCTAGAAAAGATTAAGAGTATTGCTGATGCAGTTACCCATGAAGCACACCAATGTTTAACTGAGGCACTAAACACTCACCTCAGAGAGGTTGTTGTTGGAGAACAAAGTGTATGAGGATCCTTTTTCATGTCCTTTCATGTGACTTTTGAGGCTATACTGTGTGCTAAAGGCCTTTTCACACCCATTGCTGGGACAAAAGAAAGGTCTCTCACCTATAGTGGAAGAAATCAACAGACGTTATCAATCAAACCAAAGGTACAAGTCCATCAATATCTGGATTCCAGCAGCTCCACAACTCTGAATAGTTACAACAGACTTATTTCTAAATTCACTGCAGGGGATGAGAACTAGGCTCTTAATAAGCAGAATTCTAATGTAGCAAATTACAACACCCTTATCAAAACTAGCAGGCCCTGTCAATGTTCACTCAAACATGTTTACTTTCTTAAGCTCCGTAAAAGAATTCAGGGGTCAGAAGTCCTCCAGGTCTTACCAGTGTGTGTCCTGACATGTGTCTTCAGATGATGGCTAACAGCAAAGGCTTTCCCACAGCCATCATGGTCGCACCTATGGGAGAAAGTAGGGAGGCTTACACCTTTGCAACCTTGCAAGTGTGCCAGCTTCAGCTCCATTCAGGCAAGCTGGCTTTGTAAGAGCACTTGTGACAGCGATGGTTGATTGCCAGGTTGAGTAAGAATAATATATGTGATATGGCTGCAAAAAGGGCAAATCAGTTTTAGGCTGCATCAAAAGGAATGAAAAAGTAAAGGTGTCCCCATGGGTTTTATCCCACAAACCGTGACTGATTTTAGGGGGCAGTGCTCATCTCTGTTTTTTAAGCCAAAGAGCCAGCGTTGTCTGAAGATATTTCTGTGGTGTGCCCAGCATGACATCATGCCACAGCACAGAGTGAACGGTGAAAAGGAATGTTTCAAAATTAGGAGAGGTCCACTTTTCTCTCCTCAGGTCCTATCTTGAGTGCTGGAAGATGTTTAGAAAAAGGTGATAATAACTTTATTGTCATTGTACGTGTATACCCAGTATACACATACAACGAAATTCACTTAACACCCAAAGACCAGGTCCAACACACATAACAATCCCCAAACACACTCCCACCCACCACAATTCCCCCACCCCTAAACCACCCAAGCATCCACACAACAGACCAAGTAATGCTGTCCAACAGCTCACTGATGGTGGCTCTTTAGTTCATTGTTGAATGCAATTATAGCTCTGGGATAAAAACTATTCAGAAAATGTGTGGTCCGAGTTTTAATTGTTCTGTATCTTCTGCCAGAAGGCAACAGTCCAAAAAGATTGTAAGCAGGATGGGAAGAAACCCAAAGACATTGAAGCAGCTTTAGCTTTGAAGAGAAGACTGTGGGATATAATAGAATTCAAATACTTATATTCTTTATTGTTTCAGAGAATAGGACATGGACTAACAAATTTAAGCTACAGGAGGGCAGATTCCAGTTGAGTATTTTAATAATAAGAACACTTTTACAATGGAACCAATTACCCAAAAAGAGATGGTGGTGGAGAGGTGGTGAAGGAATTCTGCCTTTCCTTCAGGAACTCAAGTGGTTTAGATGGCAATTTTCCTTGATATTCTCACATCCCCATGAGGTGGGCTGGGCTGAGAGAGTGTACATGCCCCAAGTTTCCCACTAACTTTCTACAATAAGGGGGAATTGAAGTTGGGTTTGCCAGGTCTTAACATTTTAATGCCACTAGATGCAAGGAGTAGATATTAGATACAAAACATTTTAATCTGGATTTCTTCGTTGAGCAAGGGATTCAATTGTGACCTAAATGGCCACATCAACTGTGGAATTCTCATGCAAATGAACAGAAATATGCAATAAATATCTTGCATCTGCTCTGAAAGCATTGAATTGGCTCTAGGCCTGGCATGTGTGAATGGCAAGGTCTACATGGTAGAGAAATTGGATTATCTTCAGTGTCCGAGTGCCTTCTTCCACATGTATCAACTCCTCAGCTGAGATCGCATGATGAGACCCTCTTGATGGTATGCACCTATTATGGACTATTTAGAGGGTGACCTGAGGGCATCTGAGTATGTGGTTCCAGCTACTGAAATTTTTGTTAGCCTAAAGTATATGAAGCTTTCAGGAGCTGCTTAAGGCATATGTGTTCATCCATGAATTTGGTCACCACAGCACTGCCAGTCTGGCCTGATTATTCCATGATATAAAGATAGGGAACTTGTTTAACTTGGGTTTTCATGAATGATCATTTATGGGGGTTTTCTTGTAAATTGTTTGCCTTAATCTGTATGCAGGGCCACCTCTCTCTTTCATACCCACCAAACTAATGGTTGAGATGGGGATGTAAAGCAGGACTCCAATATTAATCTCAGAATATGTGTGGGTACGTTGGGACCAGTAAAAGTCAACCCATCAAGTCAACTGAAACCAAAAACCCAAGAGCAGTTTTGATGCCTCTGAGCTTCTGCAGAAGGGGACATGTCTGCATCAGGCTGATCTTCTCCACTTGCACAATGAAAAAGGCTAAAACTACTTGCTTTTCTATGGTAAACTAGTCTAATGTTGAGTGACACTGAACAAATGAAGCTGTGCACTCTGCTAGATAATTCAACATTTGCCAGAGGGGTACATACTAGAAATGTGTTTGGGAATTTACACATTATAGGCCTCAGTGAATAAACTGCTTCCAAAAAGTCCCAGCAGATATTATGGTACACTGCCTGTTTAAAAGCCTTGCAAATGGCCCAGGATACAATGCAATTCATGCAGCAACCAGACAACTTACCTGAATGGCTTCTCTCCAGTGTGAGTCCGAATGTGTTTCCGCAGATCACTGAGGGTTGTAAAGTACTTGCTGCAACCTTCTGACTCACAGTTAAATGTTTTCCCCGTATGAAGCCTCTGATGGGCTTTTAACCTAAAGAAGAAGGGGGTTGGAGAATGTCTCTTCTGATCCAAGACATGCCCTGCAGTGAAAGAGCAAGGCCCATCTGATATGATTACAGATTTGGGCCAAGGTTCTGCACACTGAAAACACCCATCAAAGCCAACATTTTAGTGGAAGACATTGGGTGGGTGATGTACATCAGGTAATAAATTCTGCAAGAGCTACAAAAACTGATGTGAGAGATCTGGGGAGCGGGGAGAGTAAAACATCAGGACCAATCAGGACATTGGTCAATTCAACCAGGAGTACCCATTTCTCTCTCTCTCCCTCTCTCCATGTGTAAGCAGTAATTTCTCCTGATGAACGTGAGATTTCCAAAATTCATCCTCTTACCTGTACAGTGTATTGAAGGCTTTTTCACAACCTTGAACATCACACTCAAAGGGCTTCTCCTTGGTGTGCACCCGGACATGGATTTTCAGGCTGTAGGATGTCAGAAAGGCCTTCCCACACCCCTCCTGATTGCACACAAAGGTGTACTCCCCACGGTGGGTCTTTTGGTGGGTGCGCAGGTTGCCTGCAGTGCTGTAGGTACGAGGGCAGCCCTCAAATGTGCACTGGTAGCGCTTCACCTGTCAGAAAAACAAGTATCATTCAAATCAATATTGGCCCAATCCATTTCACAGAGCTACTGGAAGAGAAAATAAGTGTTTGAGTTCAGGAGGCAGCAAAAGCAGCACTCTGTTTGCGTGTTATGCAAATAAAGCTGCTCACTCTGATCAGAATCAGAGGAGATCCTCCTTTGTTTGTGTCCATAGACAGTCCCACGACCCTGCCCTTTGCTTGGGGATTAGGGGGCACAATAAGGACTTTTAGATTCAGGACAGCAGGCAAGAAAAATATAGCTAAATGTGAGCTCTATGCTAAAGTAGGCTCCCCAACTTTTCCTTGTAGGTTGTTTTATGCAACTTTAAGAAATGTATAGGTCACTTCACTTGAGAGACTATCCTAAATGTCTCCAGTGAATGCAACTGACATTTTAACAGCATCCCTCATAACCTACAATATAAAAATAGTGAATGTCACGAATCATCAAACACAAATTACAATGTCTGATTCAAGTACATGTTGCATCATAGTACTGCATATGAATCATCATTTATCCCTTTCGGCCAGTTGCCTAGTGTAAATGAGACTCACTCCCGACTTCTTAGAAATAAAAAAAAACCTACTTATGGGGAGGAATAGAGGACACATGACATTACCGTGATGATGAGGAAGGTCTACAGGAAACTATAATTAGGCTTTACTATACTCAGTAAAAGTGATTTGTTCACAGCTGAGATTGTAGCCCAAAGAATACATATACAAATACATTCATTAAATATAGTTAAGGTTTCATTGGGGGAAATCTCTATCAACTATGGACAAAGTCTATGTCCTCTACACACAGATTTCTCTGAAGAGGCTTTCCTTCTGTTACCAATCCACTACATTTATTATTTAGCGTATGGCTGGTCACACACAATATTAAAACACTTCATTTTTACAGGTTAAAACAATTAGAAAAAGAGCAGTAAGAAAACCTAAGAGGAAAACAGAAATAACATTTCAGAGTTTAATGTCGAGTTTGGAGATCCAGTCAGTAGCTGTCGTTGTTACGCAGAGGAAGTCCCTAAAATCTCCTGGAATCCACTACAATACAAAGGTGAAGACTCAACAAAGTTTGCTGCATAGCTATGAAGGATAGATGCGGCTCAGATATTGAGAGCATTTCAAGAAAGCTTCAAAATACAGTGAAAAATAACACTGGATTCCTATACTCACATCACGTATTTCCAAAATGGAAGCTCTGGGTGGATTGGAACTACCAGAGTTTATCCCTCCACAGTCATATCTTCAACATACCTAATGTCCTTTATGTAAATCCCAGCTCCTGTCTCCCAGTCCAGATAATAGTGGGATAAGCTCTTACTACAAATCCCAGTTAGCTAAATTAAAGGAAAACCTTTAACAGGGTTTGCAGTGAGCAATTTACTTTGAAGGATTTGGAGGAAGTGTAATGGGTATACTGAGAATGCAGTATACAAAACTTGCATAAAGTAGCTTTACTTTTGCTTCCTTTTCTATGCAATATGAAATCTGAATGATTGCATTTATGCCTCACTCTGTATGCATAAAATCTCAATGCGGAGTAAGAGTATATTCCCACTCCCCAAACAATAGGACAGCTCCTATCGAAGCCTTCCAGACAAGCCAGATCTTACGTATTCCCTGGAAGGTTAAAAGAGTGGGAGCAAGTTGTTTCAAAACAGAGAAGCAGCTAGCAAGACTGTTTCCCCCATGCCTCTTCCTAACAGACACTTCCTACTCACCTGGGTAAGGCAGGCAGAATTTTCTCTTTATGGTCATGTGACTGTGGGATGCTGCTAAATGCCATAAATGCGGCCAAGTTGCCTAGCACCGGACATGCAAGTCACATGGCCCAGGGAGGCAGTCATCAACCAAAATGACTTCAGTCACCAAGTGGCTGAAGTTAAGGGCTACCTGTGCTTCTAACTTTTTCTAAAAAACTGAGTATTATCACTTTTAACTCATGTGGCAATAAGAACGTTTTGCTTGAAAGTGATTTTGAATGTTTGACAAGTACCCTATTGTGAAACTGCAAAAGAAATACTTTATTTTAAACTTCTCACTGAACCAAAAACTTGAAGCTAAGAGAACTGCTCTCTGAATTTACAATTTTAAAACAACCGAAAGTTCAAAGATTTATGTTAAAAACTTGTTAAACATAATTCCTTATCTCAATCATTGGATCCTTTCCCTTAATTTTAGTACTGAAAATTCCCAAGCCAACATGTCAATAATCAATCATGAACAGAATTTAGAGACAACAAGGTGATCTGACTGATCAGGAAAACATTCCTATAAACCTCCTGTCTTTTTTATGAAATGTGATTGAGCATTTTGCAGCAATTTAAAAAGGTACAAAAATGTATTAGACTTGTACTATATGCAGTAGATATAAAAAATCCACACACACCCGTGTTAAAATGCCAGGATTTTAAGATGTAAAAAAATCAGACCAAGAACGGGCCATTTCTGGCCTCCGGAGGGCCTTGGGGGGAGGGGCGCTTTTTGCCCTCCCCAGGCTCCTAGAAAGCCTCTGGAGCCTGGGGAGAGCGAAAAATGGGCCTTCCCCACCCCCACCCCACAGGGTGGATCTGTTTTTAGAAAATCAGCTGGCTGGCACACGCATGCACACTACAGCTGAGCTGTGTGGTTCCACGTGCCATGTATGGCTGTAGGGCTCCGCATGCCATAGGTTCGCCATCACGGATACAAGTTGTATAATTCAATTGAAAAACAAACTGAAATATTTGGGGGTGGGGGGGAAATAACATTAAAACATCCAAAAACATGGTTGCTTAAATGTGCACACCCTCTTATAAAGAAGGGGTGTAGCGGTGTTCAGAATTAACCAGTCAAATTCAAACTGATGGTAAACAGTACACACCTGCCATCAAGTAAGGTGACTCTGATCAAACCATATAAATTTCAGCTTTTCTAGTAGGATTTTTCTGACATTTAGTTGCTTCTTACGGCAAAAGCCATCATCTGCAAAGAGCTTACAAAGCATCAAAGGGATCTCAGTGCTGGAAAGTTTCAGTTGGGGGAGCTGTATAAAAAAATTTCCAAGGCATCGGATATACCATGGAACACAGTGAAGACAATTACCAAGAAGTGGAGAAAATTTGACACAATAGTGACATTAACAAGAACTGGATGTCCCTCCAAAATTGATGAAAAAAACAAGAAAACTAGTCCGAGAAGCTGCCAAGAGGCCTATAGCAACATTAAAGGAGCTGCAGCAATGTCTGGCAAATACTGATTGTTTACTACGTGTGACAACAATCTACTCTATTCTTCATATGCCTGGGCTATGGGGTAGGATGGCAAGGCAGAAGCTTTTCTCTTACAAAGAAAAACATCCAAGCCCAGCTACATTTTGCATTTCTGACAAAAGCAAGTGGGCAAACGAGTCTTTGATGAGACCAAGTTGGAATTTGTCCATAATTCCAAAATGCATGTTTGGCATAAAACACACTCTGCATCGCCAAAAATACACTACACCCACAGTGAACCATGTTGGTGGTAACATGCTTTCGGCCTGCTGTTCTTCAGCTGAAACTGGGGCTTTAGTCAAGGTGGAGGGAATTATGAACAGTTCTAAATACCAGTCAATTTGGGCACAAAGCTTTCAGACCTCTGCTTAAAATGCTGAGAATGACCTTTCAACACAACAATGACCCAAAGAATATCTCCAAATCAACAAAAGAATGATTTCACCAGAAGATCAAAGTTTTGGAATGGCCCAGCCAGAGCCCAGACCTGAATCCAATTGTAAATCTGAAGAGGGTTTCCCAAGGCAAAGCTGACAGACACCTACCACAAAAGGCTTGAGTGTCATCATAAATCAAAAGTTGCTTCAACAAAGTATTAGTTTAAGGCTGTGTACACTTATGCAATCATGTTACTGTACTTTTGTATTATTTTTCCCCTAAACTATTTCAGTTTTTCAATTGATTTGCACAACTCACATATTATATTAAAGGTGAAAAAAATTCTGAAATGATTAATATTGGTCTGGGTTTTTTTACATCTCAAAAATGTGGCATTTTAACAGGTGTGTGTAGATTTTTTTTACATCCACCATAAAACATTACTCAGGAGCAGACAAAAGCTGTTTCTACTCATCCAGTTTAGTCTAGCAAGTGGGCATGTTACAAGTCCATCAGCCAAGGAATGTTGGCTGGCGGGAACTAGGAGAGGTGCCTTCTCTGGTTCTCCCTGTCCTCTGGAATATCATTCCTTCAGAGAGTGGGATGACCATGACCCTGCTGGCCTTCCATTAGATTGTGAAAACTTGGTTGGAGCCTGGGGCCCGAGTATGTTAAGGGCCCTGTTTCTTGGTTATATTAATATCTATGGCAATAGTTTTACTCATGACTAAGTATAGTATATATTTTTATGTTTTATGACATATGTTGTCGAGAGTCACTGGTTGAAATAGTAATAGAAATTAAAGAAAAACAAAAACATAGAAAAACAAAATTGGTTTAGAAATTTAGGCACCTCAATTTATGTATTTTGACATATTTTTAAGCTCCTAAAATGCAAAAGAAAATAATTTTCTCAGACAAACCAGAAGACCCTCAATAACTTTTTAACATTCTTTCAATGAAGAACTTCTTCCAGAAGACTCTCGGAAAGAGGGCCTCGTTTAAGCTGTCAACTTACTTCTTTAACCTTGGTTTCAGGGCACTCTGACTGCAAAGTGAGGGTGGCCCCCTCGATGTTCCGGGGCATGGGAGTTGAGCCAGGATTGATAGTCAAATGGATCTGATCCGGCGAAATAATGTGCTGCACGTAGCCCTGGGAGATGCCTTCGTGATCGGCCATCAAGTGGAATCTATCCTCCTGTAAGAAAGGCAGAAGATGCCGGCCTTGCCCTTCCTCTTCCTCCTCCTCTTCCTCCTCCTCCTCCTCCTCTTCTTCCAACGGCTCCTGGTCTTGCTCAATGAGGACGGTGGTCCTGTCATAGACTGTCCGGGAGGAAGGGGAGGCCAGGCCATTCTGGTCATCGAATCTGATCAGTTTGTCATCTCGAGCCAAGTCATCTTCCCCCACCTCGTAGTAGATGACATTCCGTGGGCTGTTCTCCCCCATGGCTCAGTGGAGTTCAGGGGCGGCCACAGGAGGAAGACGCTGCGGATTGTCTGCAAAGGAGGAAAAGCGGGGGGGGGGGGGGGGGGGGGAAACCGTGAACGAAGACAGGCCGCGCTCAAACAGAAACCGACTCCGGGCCGCCGTTTACTCCCGAGACCCGGACGACCGGCCCGCCGCCCCCGGCCAACCCAGGACCCAGGCGGTTGGAAGAGCCGGCTCCTCGGCCTCACCGCCGCACTTGGCCCGCCGACGACGACGAAGGCCCGGCAACAGCAGCAGCAGCAGCGCTGAGCCAGCCGGGCCCGGCGCCGCCTGCAGAGGCCGTGGCCTCACCGGGTGCCCTCAGCGCCGGGTCAGGCCCGGGCGGAGCCGCCGCCATGATGCTGGGCCGTCCTCCGCCACCGACGTTCTCTCCGCTCTCCTCCGCCGCCACCAGGGTCTCCGCAGGCAGCCGCGCTTCCGCTTCCGGCCTCCGGCCAGCCCTCGTGACGCCGTACTTCCGGCCCTGACCCCGCCTCCCGATGGCTTCCTATTGGCGCCTCTCGCCGTCAGGAGGCGCTGTTCCTGCGTGGGGTCTCCCCTCCCGCCGCTTGTCCTGCCCCGGGTGCAGAGCTTCTGTGGAGCCGAGGCGCGAGGGCGAGTCCCGGTTCCGATACCTGGATGGAGGCTGGGAAGTGGCTTATCTTTCCGCCTTTCTGCGTTTTTCCCCCCATATCTCAGTATGGCTGATCTTGTTTTTTTCTTAGTTCCTTTGCATTTCAATTTTTTTTAATAGTAACATCTATTTTAGAATCACTCCACAATGAAAAATATGCACAGGATAACGTCAAATTAAAAAAAAAAAAACGGGCAGGATGGAAGGAAGGAAGTTACTATTTGCAAAATGCAGAGTGAAAAACTATCCAACCACATTTTTGCCCAGGTTCAGTGTTTGACCTTAATTTACAATCCAATATATTGTGCAAAGCAAAAGTATAGGATTCTAGTCGGACCCTTGCTCAGAGAAGGGTAAGCAAAGTGATTAAAATATAAGATCGATCAATCAGAATAGAGCTGGAAGGGACCATGGAGGTCTTCTAGTCCAACCCCTGCTCAAACAGGAGACCCTATAGTATTTCAGACAAGCGGCTGTCCAGTCTCTTCTTACAAGACCTCCACTAATGAAGCACCCACAACTTCTGAAAACAAGCTGTTCCGCTGGTTACTTGTTCTCACGCTAGTACTATTATTACTAAATTTGCAGATGATACAACAGTGGTGGGGCTGATGGGGGGGGGAATGAGTCTGCCTATTAAGATGAGGTGGAACGGTTGCTTTCATGGTGTAGAGACAATAACCTGGTCCTTAACACAAATAAGACCAAGGAGCTTATAGTGGACTATAGAAGGAGTAGATCAGACATCCAGCCCTTGCTTATCAATGGAGACCTAGTGGCAGATAGGACAATGCTCCAGAGGGTCAACGTCATTGCCCAGAGGATCATTGGTTGCCCTCTCCCCTCTTTAGAAGAGCTTTATAGCTCCCGCTGCCTATACAGGATAATAAATACAAGGACAAATAGGCTGAAAAACAGCTTCTATCCCAGGGCAATAACCATATTGAATTCTATGGTATAGTGCAATATCGGTTTTCAATTTCAATTATATAGAATGTAAAGGATTTATGTTTGTGTTTTTATAGTTACAATGTACACTGAAGATGACATTTCATTGTACCATGTGCAATGACAATAAAGTAAACTAAAAAAAATATTTTTAAAAAGTACAACCAAACTTTCATTCTTTGACAAAGTCTCTAAGTTAGTGGATAAGCAAAATGCTGTGGATGTAGTATGCTTGGCATTTGACAAAGTAGACCATAACCTACTTCTTAGTAAGTTAGAAAAATGTGGGATAGATAGCATCACCACTGCATAGATTCATAACTGGTTGACAGTTCCGTTAAGGACTATACACACTCGACATGTAATGCTTAATGGAACTACATCTACATGGAGGGAAGTAAGCAGTGGTGTAACCCAAGGTTCGGTCTTAGGCCCCAGTAAATTGGGTATGTCTAGTCCAGTGAAAAGAAGGATTAGGGGTGACATGATAGCATTGTTCCAATTTTTGAGGGACTGCTGTAAAGAAGAATGGTGTCAACCTATTTTCCAAAGCATCAGAAGGCAGACAAGAAGTAATGGATAGAAACTAGTCAAGGAGAGAACCAACCTAGAACTAAGGAGAATTTTCCTGACAGAATAATTAACCAGTGGAATGGCTTGCCTTCATAAGTTGTAGGTGTTCCATCATTGCCAGGTTTTATAGAAGAGATCGGATAACCATTTGTCTAAAATGGTATAGGGCAGAGGTCTTCAAACTTGGCAGCTTTAAGACTTGTGGACTTCAACTCCCAGAATTCTCCAGCCAGCTATGTTATGCTGGCTGGAGAGTATAGGGTCTCCTACTTGAACAAGAGGTTGAACTAGAAGACCTCCAAGATCCTTTCCAACTCTGTTAAATTTACTTTACACCAACACATTCATTACACATACAACACATCCATTACAGACTGCAATTCTAGATAGTTGAATTGCGGGGTTACTGACACATAACAATAACAAAGCTTTTGAGCCTTTAGCCTCCAGTCCCCTAATCATCTTTATTGTTCTTCTCTGCACTCTTTCTAGAGTCTCAACATCTTTTTTGTATGATGGTGATCAAAACTGAACTCAGTATTCCAAGTGTGGTCTTACCAGTGCAATATAAAGCAGCAATAATACTTCATGTGATAGCAATAGCACTTAGACTTATATACTGTTTCACAGTGCTTTACAGCCCTCTCTAAGTGGTTTACAGAGTCAGCATCTTGTCCCCAACAATCTGGGTCCTCATTTTCCCAACCTCAGAAGGATGGAAGACTGAGCCAACCCTGAGCCAATGAAAATTGAACTGCCAAAGTGCTGGCAGCCGGCAGTCAGCAGAAGTAGCCTCCAATACTGCACCACCACAGCTCTATAATCTTGATACTCTTCTTCTCTCAATGCTAGGACTGCATTGGTTTTTGGGGCAGCTGCAGCACACTGCTTAAGTGGTTGTCCACTAGGACTCCTAAATCCCTGTCACACTTGCTGCTATGGAGCAGGTGACACCTATTCTACACCTGTGCAATGATTTTTCTTGCCTAAGTGTAAAATCTTACTTTTCTTTCAGCTTTTGCATTTCTTAACATTTATCTGCTTGCTTTCCTGTCTTTGGTAGACACTCTGCTAAGGCATACAGATTTCTCATGCTCCTCATTGTGTCATAGCAATAGCACTTAGACTTATATACCGCTTCACAGTGCCTTCTCTAGGTGGTTTACAGAGTCAGCATATTGCCCCCAACAATCTGGGTCCTCATTTTATCAATCTTGGAAGGATGGAAAGTGCAACGTTGAGCCTGATGAGATTCGAACTGCCAAATTGCAGGCAGCCAGCAGGCAGCAGAAGAAGCCTGCAGAACTGCACTCTAACCACTGCGCCACCATGGCTCTTATCATGCAAGTGATAAGAATTCTAGATCCTAGAATTATTCAGATTCTTAAACCATAACACAGCATTCTTTGGATAGGAAAGTAGATGGACATTCCCATCCACAATCCAAACACCTTTAGTATCAACTACAGGGTGTGGATATTACACCTCTTTTACTCAAATGTTCAATGTTGAGCTGTTATCAGAGTGCATTATACTTGACACATGCTTTATTTCCATCATAGACTGCTTTTCTTGCATTCAGTAATCAACTTTCAATTCTATATTTCAAGCTATGGTTTTAAAGTAAGTATTTTTAAATGAAATTGATACCTGTGCTTTCCCCCCAACTTTGGCAGATGTTTACCCCTTTAGGCCACTATGCTTAATTCCCTCCACAGTGCGAGAATCCAAACCGAAGCTTTCTTGACAGATCAAGCTTGAGCATTTGGAGCGAAGGGGAGTCCTTGAGGGCTTTTGTTTCTTCTTGGCCTCCTTTGCCAATTTCAACTCATTCTGAATCTCAGCTTTCCCAATTTTCCCTTTTGATTCCCAGACTACCCATTTGAGCTTTTTGGAGTCCTTCTTCCATTTCCTACAATTCAGTTTTTGCTTTTAGTTTGCCCACATTGGATTTTTCTACTGTCTTCTACTTTTTCCTCGTTGAATGTGAGGAAATGCGATTGCGCATTTAATGTGTATTGTGCAACTGGTACTTCTCTGCAGGCAAAGTCCTGGTCCTGTTGGAAACTCAGGGCAGAAGGAAGGAGAGTGCAACAGCTCCATCTTGCAGACTTCAAGGCCCACAGCCAGGCAGAGCAAGTGGACGTGGCTGTTAAGTGAATCTGGCTTCCCCATTGACTTTGCTTGTCAGAAGGTTGCAAAAGGGATCCCGTGACCCCAGGACATTGCAACCATCATAAATAGGAATCAGTTGCCAAGTGTCTGAATTCTGATCACGTGATCAGGGAGATGCTGCAACAGTTGTAAATGTGAAAAACGTTCCTCAGTCGCTTTTTCTTGAATCCCCTGGAGGGAAATATTCAGTGGGCTCCATATAGAAGTACAGTGAGAAAGCGGGGGATGCAATTTGTGCATTACACTGCTCCTCTGAGACTCCTCTCTGCACAGGAGCATTCCAGCTCCTTCTCTCGTGACCCTAGTGGCCTTCCAGAAGACCATGAAGGGCTGTTGCCCAATCCCCGACACTGGGGCCAGGGGACTATTGGAGCCCTGATGGGGGTACAGGTGTGTGGTTTATAGTTACGGAAATTTTTAGAGGCCTCAACTGTAATGGGTTGTGAAATTGATTCTGTCTTTTATCTTGTTTGCTGCCAAGCGTGGTAGATGGGCAGCCATACAATATCCTCAATAGAGATGTGAATGAGCTAAACCATACCATTTTTATAATAGTGGTTTCCCCTTGCACTGACACTAGTCCAACACTGCTTTAACACCCATCTCTAATTTGGGGAAAGGTGACCAGAGTGTGGTTTGGCAGCTCTGGGTGTCTCTATTCTACTCTACTCTACCCTACCCTACCCTACCCTACCCACCCTACCTACCCTACCCTACCCTACCTACCCTACCCTACCCTACTCTACCCTACCCTACCCTACCCTACCCTACCCTACCCTACCCTACCTACTACTACCCTACCCTACCTACCCTACCCTATTCTACTATTCTACTACCCTACCCTACCCTACCCTTACTATTCTATTACTTCTACTATTCTATTCTATTCTTTATTCTATTCTATTTATCATTCTCTTTCTTTTCTGTAATCAACCCTCTTCAGTTCAGCCTCTCCATTAACTTGTCTTTGCTTCTTGTTCAAACCTGCCCCCTCCCAACCCTTCCCCCTTGCTAGTGTTTTTGACTCCAATTTCTTTCAGGTACAACAGAGCTCCACTCTTTGATTTAAGGGACAAAATGGCACTATCTTCGCAAGAGTCATCTTTATATATGTTTCAGAATCTTTAAACAGCGTAAGATGAAGTAGCTCACCTTTCTTCACTGCAGTGCCCAGAAATTGACTCAGAAGAGTGCTGAACTACTCTGACTGTTCTGCTTCTTGGCTGTGCCTCATGAAAGATGAGATCTGGCTGCCCAAGTTCCATTCTCCAGGCCCACCAGACCCCAACGAGAGTGGGCTAGCCTGCCCTTTGGAGATGCTTCTGCCTTGGTCTCTTTATTTCACTTTGTTTTAAATTTGGGAGTTGCCTAAACAGGATAGTGGAGAAGGGCAGCCAAGCCAGGCTAGGGATGTCCAAGTAGAGTCCCAAGGTCGGACCTTCCAATTCCAGGTCTTATGGATGCTTTCACACAGCCAGTGACCCATTGAAATCCAAAGAGGAAGAACAACTGCCAAAGACACCCATGATGTAACTCAGAATGGAGACTATGGAGGCAAGGGGAACAGCGTGACTGGGTGGCAAAGAGCAAGGAACTGGCATCTGCATCCTGGCATCTGCATCCTGGTTTACCTGGCAGCTCCTTAAAACAGCCACTTGCATGCCCCCACAGCAGCGCTATCTGAATTACAAAGAGTGGGAAACATCTTAAAAAAGAATTCATTTATTTAAATCAAAGCACCTGACTTGGGGTTGAAAATTAAATTGAAAAGCAATGGAGGAGAATGATTTTTTCCCCACAGAAACTGGGATATGAAGAGTCAGAATCCACATTAGTCTCTCCTTTAATACCAAAACCCACTACTAGTTTTTGGAAATTGTTTCTTTGTATTATTTTTAAAAGATTATCTTTATTTTAAAACATTTTAAAGTAGTAAAGCATGTAATTTTCTGAATATACCAAAGCATCTTCCCAGGAATCCCACTGACAATCTTCCCAAAGCCTTCAAGGTGAGCTTCCTTCCTGGAAAAGGAAGTGCTGGAGGAACTGCTGGGCCTTCTGCTTCTCAACAGTGTCGGGCGCTGGGTGGCCAGGTGGAGGACGCAGCAGGACAGGCCCAAATACACTCGCTGCCCAGAGAAAGAAGGAAGCGGTGAGGGCTGCCAATGGGAAAGGAGGCATATGATGAACTATTAAGGAATGTCTAGCCTAACAAAGAGAAGGATTAGAGGCAGGGGTGAAATCCTACCGGTTCGGACCGGTTTGGCGGAACTGGTAGTAAAAAATGCTTTTAAAAAAAAAAGTTCCGATGATCGTGGGTCACTCAGCTGATCATCGGAACCTTTTTTTTACCTTTTAAAAGCATTTTTTTACTACTGGCTCAAGCGAATAGGTAGTAAAAAAATGCTTTAAAAAAGTAAAAAAAGGCTCCGGCGATTGCATGGCACAGCTGTGATTGTCAGAGCCTTTTTTTTACTTTTTTAAAGCAATTTTTACTACCTATTCGCCCGAGCCGGTAATAAAAAAATGCCTCAAAAGTAAAAAAAAAAAAAAAAGTTACGACGATCAGCTGAGCGAACTGCGATCATCGGAACTTTTTTTTTTTTTACTTTTTAAAGCATTTTTTACTACCGGTTTGGCCGAACCGGTCCGAACTGGTAGCATTTCACCCCTGCCTCTAATCCTTCTCTTTGTTAGGCTAGACATTCCTTAATAGTTCATCATATGCCATATGATGTGTCATATGTCAACTCGCAAAGCATCCCTGGCCTGCTCTCGAGTTGCCATAAGCAAGGGAGATGGGAAAACAAACTTTACAGCTGCAGCGAGGGAACACTTCAGTCAAAACAAAAGCACATTCCATACATCACTCTGTCAAGGCCATCTCTGTGGTTATCCACAGTGCCCAGAGGGAAGTGATCTCTACAACACGCGAAATTGTTTCGTTGGAGAATGTGACCGATGACACACCTTGGGGCGGGGTGGGTGGGGGAAACAGGGTCTGGATGTACGTTCAGAGCCTGGATGTGAATTAAGTGAGGTCAGAGTTGGCTTCACTTGGAATGTGCCAATATGAAGCTCCTAATAAATAACTGGATTTCTTTTGAAGCTTGGCTCGAGGCTTATGATTTAATTAGGGCATTGGTTGGAACCATGACACTTTAGCTTCCAGACCCTTTATTACCTTTATTGCTCTTCTCTGCACTCTTTCTAGGGTCTCAACATTTATTTGTTTATTTATTTTGCATCATAGTGATCAGTAATGGATGCAGTATCCCAAGTGCGGTCTTACCAGTGCAGTATTAAGTGCTACTAGCATTTCATGTGAGCTTGAAACTACCTCTCTGTTGGCAGCTGCAGCACACTGCTGGCTCATATTTAAGTGGTGGCTCATTAAGAAACCAGGTACCACCAGGTATTGAGCCAGGTACCACCTATTCCAGTGATGGCTAACCTTTTTGCGATCGCGTGCCAAAAGCAGGGGGAGCACAGAGGGGTCACACGTGCGCATGCCGACACCCATAATTCTATGCGCCCCATCCCCCACGCATGTGCATGTGACCCTCCCCATACACACACACACACACCGCACTTTTGGCACGTGATGGCACAGTGGCCCGGTAGACCCATTTTTCACTCTCCCCAGGCTCCCGAGCCTTTCTAGGAGCCTGGGGAGGGCGAAAATGGCCTTCCCCACACACCCCCTGGAGCCCCTCCGGAGGCTGGAAATGGCCTGTTTGCCGACTGGTGGGCCCAGAAGGCCCGAAAATCAGCTTGCTGGAGCTGAGCTCGCGTGCCCACAGATATGGCTCTGCGTGCCACGCATGCGTGTGGCACGCATGCCATAGGTTCGCCATCACAGACCTATTCTATACCTGTGCATTTGGTTTTTCTTTCCTAAGTGTAAAACCTTACTTTTCTCACTTTTGAACTTCATTTTGTTAGATAGGTTCAAGTCTGTCGAGAGCCATCTGATTCTTGAGCCTATCCTGCCAGCTTGCTGTTGTCTGCAAAGTTGATGAGCTCCTTTTATATCACCTCATCTAAATCACTTATGAAGATGTTGAAGAGCACTGAGCTTTGGGGTGGGGTGGGGAATAATGCTGCCCCAGAGAGAGGAAGCAGCAAAGGACAGCAAGGGGCTGGAATTCTGCAGTGCTGCAAGTGGGAAGGAGCCTCCTCCCCACTTGCTCCCAGAGCAAATAAACCCTCCCCTCTCATCCTCAGGCCAGATGATGCTGCACTGCACTCCCAGAGGGGGTTCAATCTTGCTTACCAAGGATATGCCCATCCAAGTGGTTTTTCTCAGAATGTTGCAGCAGTTCCCGTAGAAATGCCATCAGATAATTGAAAACGTTTTTGTGGCACCGGGGGAGCATGGAAACTACCTGGAAAAGAGGAGGAGAGTCACTGCTGACCTAGAAATGCCCAGGGTGTTTACACATTCCTGCTCCTCCCTGGGCTCCCTTACCTGACTACTCAGGCCGTAGCTGCCAGCACTCTCCACACTGCGGTCATACAGCTGGAAGCAGATAACTGGCTCTGGAAGACTCTCCAAGAAGAGAAGCAGAACTTCAGCTACAGAGCAGCTGCTGCCAACTGACAATGAGGATGAAAGGAAAAGGGCTGCTTACTCTGCCTGTGCTTTCTCTGATCCTGGGAAAGCTCCAGTCTCCCATGGGAGTGGGTTATGTCCATTAAGCACCTATATCAGGAGTGAAATGCTCCCGGTTCAGACCGGATTGCCCGATCCAGTAGCGATGGAGGCGGGTGGTTCGGAGAACCGGTAGCAAAAATCCGTGCCCCTCCTCCCCGCCCCCCCATTGCCCAGCCGAAGAGGTTATAGAAAAAATGTTTTTAAAAGGAAAAAAAGCCTCTGCCGATCAGGCAAGTCAGCTGGGATCGTCAGAGGCTTTAAAAGCATTTTTTTTACAACCTTTTCAGCCAAAGAGGTTGTAGAAAAAATGGTTTTAAAAGTAAAAAAAAAAAAAAAAGTTCAAGGAGACAAAAAGTCCCTCTTGGGGTGGGATGGGGCAGCTGATAGATTGAAGCTGCAGTGTGACTCTCCCCATTGGCACACCCTCAAGAATCTGTTAGATGGTGGCCCAGAAGCAGCTTTAAGGGGCAAGGGCAAGGGTGAAATCCAGCAGGTTCTGACAGGTTCTGGAGAACCGGTAGCGGAAATTTTGAGTAGTTCGGAGAACCGGCAAATGCCACCTCTGGCTGGCCCCAGAGTGGGGGTGGGAATGGAGATTTTGCAATATCCTTCCCCCAGGAGTGGGGTAGGAATGGGCATTTTGCAGTATCCTTCCCCTACCATGCCCACCAAGCCACGCCCACAGAACCGGTAGTAAAAAAAATTGGATTTCACCACTGGGCAAGGAAGGAAAGGAAAGGGCCTTCCCCAAAGAATACCGAGTGTGTCCAATGTTCCTGTGTCCAGGCAGTCGCGGATCTCCGGAAATTCAGCTCGAGGGCCAGGCTGCTGGAATAGGTCCTTCTGCAGGCGAGGAGCAGCAGTGGTAGCAGAACCAAAGGAAGATGGAAGTTACATGCAAACAGTTGTCTTTTGTCAGGTCTTCTGACAGCACATTCCTCTTATTTGCATCCATACAAACACATCTGCTCCCATCGTCCCATAGCAGGCCTTTTTTTGCATGTGAAACTGTCATACAGGTAGTCCTCATTTACAACTGCCTCATTTATCAACCTTTTACAGATATAACAGTGATAAAAAAAAAAGTTTTGTGACCAGTCCTTGCATTTACAACCTTCACAGGTCTGTAAAGCAAAGGAAAGATGAAGTAAGTTCATAAGCACAGTTCACTTAGTGAATGCTTTGCTTAATGACTGAGCTGCCAGTCACAACTGTAGTCAGTAAACGAGTACTATCTGTAAGGAACAGAGCTGAGTCAAATAATCTATAGAAACATTCCCAACTGTTTTTCTATCCTTGACTTCAGAATTAAATACCTGCCTACTGCAACAGGATACTTCTATCACGATTAGGATGCATAGACTCAGGTGGATACTCACCTTTTGGCAAGCATTATGGTACAGATGGTCCACCATCATCCACAATTCCTTGGGTACGTCCAAGGGCTTCTCATCCCAGAAGAAATCTTCTCCTGACTGCAATGGCATCAGTGTCTGGATAAAAACAACAACAGGCGCTATAAGGGTCTGTGTTCTTGTGCAAATGGTGGTATCACAGGTAGAAGGGGGGGTATCCATGACAGTAAGATCTCACCAGCTTCCTGATGGTTTCTGGCAATATATCTTGAATGGGTTGTCTCATGTGAATGAGAGCATGTATGGGGGTCCCAAAGCAGCTGGGGCAATAATTTCCTGTCACAGGTAAAAAATAATCCTTGCCCCGGTGAAGGTGTAAAACTAAGACATCTTCCAATTGGTCTTCTCCAGAGTTTAAATGGGTTGCTGTTGATTTATTCACAAACACTTCCAACTCAATGGTTACCTCATCATCTCAAGAGAGAAGAAAGATGTAAACTAAGAATACCAAGACTGAAAACTTCACACAGATCTCATGCACAGGTGGAAAGAGTTGTTGGAGATTTACAAAGAAAGATCAGATGATCAAAGACCAACATTTTAGCAAAGTTTGGCTGTAACCTCATAGAAATAGCAAACTGAAATATTCCAGACACAAAATATAATAAACAGATTATATTTGTTTAATCCCAATCAGATAATCAATACATTGATTATCTGGTTGGGATTAAAAATATCAGAGGTCTAACAAAAGCAATGGAGTGCACAAAAACACTACCTAAGGTCAGAAATATAGACCAGAAATCAAACTGCTACAAGTTCAAACAATCCAAGTTATTCAAGTCTGATGCTCATACCACCACCTTTTCAGGGGAAAAGACAGGTTGCAGAGAATGAATTGCATGTTCTCAAACCTAAAACCAAAAAGCAGCCTATGGACTGCTTCTTTCTAGCACAAACGTAAACTGGAGTACAACATGCAGGTACACTCACATATCACAACCATCAAGTCACCTGATAACAAGAAGCCCTTGCTGGGTTTTGCTGTTAGCCATGGCTTGCAATAGCTGCTTTCATGTGGCTTGCAGATGAACTCAAACTGGCAAGGGGTTGGCCCATTGCAGATGATGAGGACGTCCATTTGTAGCTGCATAAACTTCACATCCCTGAAAAAGAACTGGAGATGCAGAACAATAGAATAAAGACCCAGAGTTCAGTTCAGCTGCTATTCATCCATTCTTGAACTGCCAAAATGATAGTGGTGTAAATCTTATTTTCTCCAGGCAACCCTTACAGCTTCTCGTTTAGCTTCTGATTGTTTCATCATCAGGTGACATCCTCAGAGGAATTTTGGTTGAAGTATCAACTGAAGTCCCACCAAGGATGCCACCTAGCCTGGTGATGAAACATTTGTGTCAGCTGGCTCTACAGCGTGCGGTTTGCAGCTTGCTTGCTCTCGGCTGCCATAGAAATGGGAGTGGGGGTGGGGGTTGGCATTTGAGGTGGAAAAGGAAGGTGATGTGAAGTGTTCCTGTGAGAATTTGGAAGGGAGGTTTGTACTCATGAACTGTGGTGCTGCTGCGTGGAGTCGTTTGGACTTTTCCAAGGCCAACCATCCTGGGACTCCGGAGGCACACAACACTTCCCATAACATCATATTGGATGCTGATTGGTCTTTCTGGGGCTGGACCAAATCCCTCCTGGAGGAGTGATTTGAGGTGACTTTCAATGTGTAACTTTCACCCAGATTTTTCCCAGATCTTGCCTTGCTTTTGCAAAGTTCATTCTTATTAAAAGTTCCTCTTCTGTAAATCAATGGAGTCGGGGGTTTTCTTTCTTAGGATTTGAAGGGAGGCAGACCTGACATGAAGCTAAGACAACTTGAAGCTAAACAGGAAGCCCAGAGAACAAGCCGCTACCAACATGTACCACCTGAGCTACAAATATTTTCCATCATTTCTAACCCCTGCAGCTTCTATTCTGATTTGTCATCTGATGGTGGCATTATTTAGGTCAGGTTAAGTATCAATATTGGATTAAATCCCCTGATTTGAATATTTCCAGCCAGTAGGAAATTGATTCTAAATTAATTAATTAATTATTCGTAAAGAATGTTTAGGGCAGATGACTAGAGCTTACTGTTCTCTGAACCAGCAAAGCAGACCAAGTTCCCAGTTCCACAGCTAGGCAAGATTGTCTTGATCCAATGGTCTCTTGAGAGACCACTCCTGCCTGAATTCAGCTCCTGTGCTAAACTCCCTCTCTGTTTGGGTAGCACTGTTTTACCTCCCTCTTGGAGAGAGTGACTGATGGGATACTGGCATTCTCCCTCTTGTCCATGGAGCTCACAGTTTCCCCAAAGACTTTGCGGTAGAGCTGTTCATCCACCACTTTCACCTAGAAAGGACATATAATATGTAGTCACAATCAGTACCAGCAAAATTATTGGCATTGCTGTCCAGCACAAGGAACCAAGAGGACATGGGCAGCTGGTCAGAATGGTGTATTTATGGTTACTTGCCTATTAATTGGACTCTTGGCAGCCTAATGCCCTCACTAGAGAAACTGCTAGTGGTGGCACAGTGGTTAGAAGCAGTATTGCAGGCTAACACTGCCCACTGCCAGGAATTCGATCCTGACTGGCTCAAAGTTGACTCAGCCTTCCATCCTTCTGAGGTCAGTAAAATGAGGTCCCAGATTGTTGGGGGCAATAGGCTGACTTAGAGAAGGCTGTAAAAGCACTATGAAGAGGTATATAAGTCTAAGTACTACTGCTAAGTGCTACTAGGTAAGCACTACAAGATTTAGGGAGGGTCTGCTTTTCGCTGCTTCCTCCATCTAAACCAGTGTTTCTCAACCTTGGAAGCTTGAAGTCCACCCATCTTCAAGCTACCAAGGTTGAGAAACACTGCCCTAAACTATTCCAGATTAGCATGTCTCTTAACTCCTCAACTCACTTCAGCTTCAGATTCTACCACAATCACCTTCCATAGAAGCTAAGCCACAAGAACCAGGCCACAGAGGTAGTCACTGCATCCATCTCAAGGGAATAGAGCCAACCTGCCCCTGTTCAAAGATGTTCTCTTATAGCTTTTCTTCTGTGCAAGGCAGAGAAGAGGATTTTCAGTGATGTGGGGAATGGAAGAGTGCCTGGCATTTTCTCTACTTCCATTTCAGAGTCCCACCTTAGCTTGGTCAAGATATTTTGTTCTTCAAACACAACTGTTTTATTTTGCTCAGGATTCTGAGTTGCAGTCTCATGTTATGGCTAATTTGTTACATACCTTGATATTTTATTATACTGTATATTTGCTGTATTTTATAGCCCGGAATCTACTGGATGAACAAAAGTGAGTCAATGACAAGCTTATGCCCTTGCTTAGCAAAACTCCATTGCTGTCAAGGGTCCTTCTTGAAGAGGACAGTGCTCTCATTTTGTTAAACGAAACAAGGGTTCCTTGGGGTTACCAAGGTTACCAAAATGCCATGCAGAAAAGCAAAGCAACAACTTTGAATGCACGTAAGTAGGCAGAAGACTCTGAAGCCTTGGTGAGCAGACTGAATGGCTATGCCAGCCTGCAAAACTGAGGAATGTGAGGAACAGAAGATGCCAACAAGGGTCCAGGAAGATGGACCCTGAGCTGAGCCTACGTCAACATACCGCAATGTCAAACACAGCACTGACTGGCTTGTGGTCGCTGTTCCTCAAGGTCAGGTGGTTTCGATAGTCCAGCTGAGAGATGGTCTCCCCTTTGAAGAGAATTCGGTCACACCAGGCAAAGGCACAATACTGCTCGCTGCAAGAAAAGCAGAAGCAGCATCTGCCTAGTAGCTCAGTGTAACTCCACCAACATTTCCCCCTGGCACTTCGTCCCTGGCAGGCCTGCACCAGCAATCACTTCTTCTAGCAGTCCCTTCTGCTTCTCTTCCTCTCCCCCAACCCTTATCTGAGGCAGCCTTAAAGTTATCCTTGCTTGTCCTGGTGTTACTTTCCCCTTCTTGAGCAGGGGGTTGGACTAGAAGACCTCCAAGGTCCCTTCCGACTCTGTTATTCTGTTATTCCTTTCTTCCCCACAACAACTTTTGTTGTGGGTAGTCTGAGGACATTTTGGAAGTGGCCATTTTGGAAGTCCTGAAACTTGCAGTTTCTGGATCACAGAAAGAGTCAACTTGTAAACAAATTACAACCCATCCCATGATGCTTCAATGATCTGCTAATTAATTAATTTAAAGGGTTTGTATGGCCACCCATCTTAGAACCACAACTCTGTGCAACTCACAACCATTCAGTGGTGGGTTTCAGCAGGTTCTGACCAGTTCTGGAGAACCGGTAGTAGAAATTTTGAATATTTCGGAGAACCGGTAGTACAAATTCTGACGGCCCCACCGCCATCTATTCTCTGCCTCCCAAGTCCCAGCTGATCAGGAGGAAATGGGATTTTGCAGTATCCTTCCCCTGGAGTGGGGTGGGAATCAAGATTTTACAGTATCCTTCCCCTGCCACGCCCACAGAACCAGTAGTAAAAAAGTTTGAAACCCACCACTGCCCTATATGATATGGGATTGGGTTATTTGAGGGACTGCCTCCCCCCCAATTACATCTGCCCATCTCATTAGGTCCAGTAGAAAATGCATGCTGTGGGTCGCATTGGCAGGGAGCAACATTTGGTGGGTCGTTGACAGTCGGGCTTTTCTGTCATGGCCCCCGCATTGTGGAATGTCCTCCCTTGTTCCCCAAAGGATGTTGGCTGTTGTGGCTCCGTTGCCTGAGCCTGGGCTATCGACAGATGCAGACTCTGAGAGTGAGGGAGAGGAGTTGGCAAGGCCTCCCTCTCCAGGACCCTCCTCTCTGGCAATGCCTCCGGAGGACACCGAAGGCCAAAAGATAGGCTCAGAGCCAAGCACGTCCCCGCAGCCACATGTGGACAGCGACGAAGAAGATAAGTGCTGGCTGGACCCTCGGCAGAGGCGCAGGGAGAAGCGTGCGCAGCAGAGGGGAAGGCGTGCCAGAGATTAGCTGAGTCACTGGACCACACCCCACAGGGTATAAATGTGGGTGTGGTGGCCGGTTCAGTTTGTGACGAGCAAAAACTGGAAATAATCCATGATCTCTGCATTACTGAACTTTGCTTGCTTTATCGGACTGCATTTGGATTAATCCTTGTATTGTTGAAACTCTGCCTGCTTTATCGGAATGCTTGCAGTCTAATCTTTGTTTTGTGTGAGTAAAGTCTGAATTGGCAGCTAGCCACTGGGTTGCTGCCAGCTTTATCTTCAAAGAGTTTTGTCGTGTGGTTTATTAACTCTGGGCTGTCCGTGGGGGTGCGTGTGTGGTATGGGGACAGAACAGTTGGCATCATCCTTTTGACTTTCTGAAGGTCCCTCAAAATCTGAGGACCCAAGGTAACTGTTGAAATATTAAGATGGCTCCATTATAATTAACATTTTGCCCAATATTTTTCTCTAGGTTAGCTTTGTGTCTTTTTTTCTATTTTAACACTGTGTTTTTTATTGTTTCAAACTTTTTAAAAAATAATAATTTTGTATATATTGTTTTTAGGCTATTGTACTCTGCTCAGAGTCACTTGTTAGATGGGGGAACATATAAATTTGACAAATTAAATAAGTAAGTAAGAAAGTAAGTAAGTAAATGGCTGTTATGGGTATGGTCTCTCCCATTGCAAAGATACTGAAGTAATTCAAAATCTTTATAATTTCCTTGGAAGAATACAAGGAATGCAATAGCTATCTGTCACCCACCCACCCACCCTCCCTCCCTGTCAGCTCGCCCTTCCTCTGTCTGCCCCACACCTGGTATCCCATTCGTCCGAGCTAATTTTGTATTTGTAGGTGGGCTGGAAGATGACCTCTCCCTCTGTGAAGTCTTCAAACACCCTCTTTGCCTCCATTTGGCTCCTCAGCTGGCAGGAGAAAAAAGTGAAGAAATGAAGTTATGATCATGAGAACAGCATCTACTGTAGGCAGGGGTGGGTTCTACTTACCTTTACTACCGGTTCGCAATGGGATCGCACACTCGCGCACACGCCTTGCTTCTGCACATTTGCAGATTGCTTCTCATGACGTCAGGGTCAGTGGGCGGAGCCTCCCACCAGTTTAACTACCTGTTCTATAGAACCGGTCCGAACCAGGGGCAACCCACCACTGATTGTAGGTTGGTATCTTGGTCTCTGAGGACCCCATGTGGTGCACATGTTTAACGTTAGCAGGCAAAAGATTCTCCAGCAACATGAGGCTTCTACTCGCAAGGACAAATTTCAAGCACCTTCTCTCAGTTCTAGCAAGTGGCAATCCTAGGAACTTATTTGCTCCCAGTTTTGGTTTTTTTGGTTTCCAAATACAAACTGATAAAGTCTTGGCTGATAACACACCAGATTTAATTGGGTTTGAAAAAAAGAAAATTTGGATAATTGATGTGGCAATGCTAAGGGATGGTAGAATAGAAGATAAAGAACTGGAGAAAAGTGCAAGGTATTGAAATCTGAAAACTGAACTTGAAAAATCACAGGTAGTCTTTGACTTACAATCGTAATGTGGGTTATCACATGACCAACCCGGAATTTTATGAAATATGTTAAGTGAATGCAGCAGTTGTTAAGTGAATGCCATGGTTCGTAATTGAATGCCATGATTGTTAAGTAAACCAGTTTGCTATGGGCTGGTTTTGCCCAAACAACAAAAAAAAATGCTGGGTTTTGGCAGAAACATCGTAAAATACAGTTGCATGACTGCTGGATGCTGCAAATAGCTATAAATGCAGGTCAGTAGCCAAGCACTTGAAATGAGATCACGTGACTGTGGGACTCAAGCATCGGAACTTCAGAACCAGGTTGTAAGTAACCCTGGGGAGGTCCACTGTAACTTCAAACAGTGACCTGCTGTAAGTCGAGGACTACATACAGCATAATACAGCATAAACTGACGATGGTGATCTGAGTGGGTCCCAGTGATTTCACTGTGTACCATACCGAAAAATCTTGGACTGCACTTCAAAATCTGCACACTGACAAAATTCCCATATGTCAGTTGCAAAAGGCTACCCTGCTTGGATCCTCACATACACTATGCCAAGACGTTATGACATCCCAGGTTCTTTGGAAGAAATGGATGTCAATTTCCTTTACCAGCTAAAGAACTGGCTGCTGTGACTTCACATTGTTATCTGTATAATAATTAATATGCCACATTGTTGGGACTTGGTGGTTTACAAATTGTTAAAAACATTGTTAAACATGTTAAAAACAATTCTGGTAAAAAAAAAAAACAATGCCCATTTGAACAATCTTCAGAAGCTCTGGAGACCAGATTCTCCACTGGCTAGTTTCTTAGCCAGTTTCTAATCCTGAAGAAAATTGGGAAGGGGAAGCCTTCAAACTCAAACCCCTGATGTTCTGGACAGCTGGGACTTGCAGGAAAGCTTTGGAGCTGAGTTGAGAAGCTAACCAGGTGAGTCTCCAGCTGGGAGGTGGGGCAACCAAGAAGCAAAATCGCAGAGGAACAAGTAACAATATAAGAAAAGCAAAGAAACAAAGACAGCAGAGACAACAAACCTAGAATAGAATGAAGAAAAAGAAGAAAAGGGCATCACTCAACTCTTACCAAACTTTTGGGTCCTTTGAAATACTGGATGGATGGTGGTTGTTCAAATCTCAGGGGGAACCTCATCTCAGAGCAAGTAATGCACGAGACAAGGTGTGCTTCCAGGGTCATAACAGATGTCATTGTTTAACTAAAGGAACCTGGAGTACGCCAATCTGGCCAGATTGAACCAGCCAGGCAGATGCTATGGAAGACAGGCGCTCCCTCAAGTGGTCAGATCCTGTGCCATGTAGAAATTTATAGATAGCTACCAGCACCTTGAATCACACCAGAAAGCAATCATACTGGCAATCAGTGCAACTCACAAAGCAGAGGTGTTACGTGGGCACACCAAGGCATGCCCCTTACTGTTCTGACCTAGGCTTCCTGAGTCAGTAAAACACATGAGTAGTCCCAAAAACCTCTTTTATTGCAACAGCTGTGAATTCTGTTCATTCACAGACAAGTCCCAAATAGTTGTAAAGAGTCCTTTGGGATAAGGCTGATAATCACCCACCTTTATCTCCCTTGACTCGCTGCCAAAGACCTAATTGGCAAAGCCACACGAAATTCAGAATCAAACAGAGCTTCAGACTTTAAACTGAACAGAATTAACAATGTTGCTTCCTACAAAGGCCCACGTGCCTTTGCTCCTCTTTTAAGTCTTATGGGAGGGGCCAATCATCTCCAAGCCCTATTCCCGAGTCATCCCTTTTGTTTTAACTATTCTTGCCTTCTGGCAGCTCTGCGCATGCACGCACTGAGAACAGGCTCCCTCTGTTCCTCTGCCTCGCTGATGTCCAACTCCGGAGGCAGCACGTACCTCCCAGATGGCCCTTTCTCTGCCTCTGATGCAGAGCCCTCATCCGAGCCTTCCCCAGACTCCAGGACTGGCCCATGTTCCTCCCCAGCCTCCTCACTTCTGACTCTGCTGCCAGCTCCCCAGGCTGCCGGCGGACCATAACACTTACTGCCTGCACTGCTGTATTCTGAATCAACTGAAACTTCCAGGTGATCTTCAAGGGCAGCCCTATGCAGAACACGTTGTGTAGCCAAACCATGAGGCAACTACGGCATGAGTGAATATTTGACACCTACCCACCTTCCAATCTAAGAAAAGGCACAACTGATGCACCAGGAGATGGGCAAAGGCCTTCCTGCCAGCTGCTTAGGGGTTGTGAAGACAAGATAACCCCCAAACTGAAGACCACTCTTGGGTGGGGGAGTGCCCCCCCATTTACAGTTTTGCATGTAGGATGAACTCAAGGTACCAAAGGTCTGCTCCTCCCAAACTTTTCAAGGGAGAATGAGAAAGTGAGTTGACCTCACCTGATCATGTCGATAAAGAGCACGGAATTCTTGGGCCTCCACCAGCTTCTTTACTTGATCCATGTTCTGCTGTTCCAGCTGGGAGTTCAAGTCCCCCAGCCATACGACGATGCTATCAGGAAAGAATTCTGATAAGATGATGACTGCCACCGGCGGCAGCTCCACCTTCTCAGCTTCCTGTGACTTCAACACACAGTGCCATTCCCTCAGCAAACGACAAGTCCTACTTCAAGGAGCCCTTGGACCCACCAAATGCAAAAGAGATGCCCAGCAAACTTCAGCCCAGATTAGCATATCAAGTCCTATTACTTGCCCAATGGAAGTGCAAGCCAGGCCAAGCCGTGCATTCTGTTGCCCCGTTTGTCCTCAGAGGCTTCCCCACTTACTCATGCTGGCTGAGAGGGATGGTTGGGAGGCTGGGATCCTGCTGGAAAAACTGCAGGCGGGCACAGATGTCACGGATGTCCTGGCTGTACTGCTCAGATTCCGGTGGGTGGGCTGTCAGGTGGGCATTCGCCACACAAATAGTGGTGCTGTGGAACCTGAAGCGGATGGCCACGGCCCCCTTGATGTCCTGCAAGACACAAAGGGAGTAAACCCTAAATAACAGCGTGGAAGAAGTGGCAAAAGGGATCCTTGCTTGGAAGCAAACAGGGTCCAAGGAGGGTCCAGCAGCTTGGCTCCCTGTTCCCCTTGTTGCTGGAAGACCCCAGTCCCATTCAACCACCCCAGCTTTCTCTCTCTCTCTCTCTCTCTCTCTCTCTCTCTCTCTCTCCCTCTCTCCCTCCTTCCCTCTCCCTCTTTCCTTAAAAATTAGAGATGTATCTGCCTTGAAAGTAGCCGATGTTAAACTGTATAGTACAATCAAACATCAGGAGTTACCACAGGAAACATTTTATGACATTTTGTATGATGTTCAAAAGGCCAGGAAATGCTTACTTTCTCTGTTTTTTGTTTCTCAATGATCTTTTTTTCCTTCTTTTACTTTCTTTCTTTTGCTTCCTTTACATATTTTCACTTTGTGTTTTTTTTTAATCTATGTAGAAACTCTTAATAAAAATTATTTTAAAAAATGAACTTTATCTTGGCAACAGTCAGTGAACTCTGCACTATTCTCTCAGTGACATGTTCACTTAGCAACTATTTGGCTTAACAACTCAGTTGTTGGAATCAATTGCAGTTACCAAATGAGGACTAGCTGTAATTCTTCTTCTTCTTCTTCTTCTTCTTCTTCTTCTTCTTCTTCTTCTTTCTTCTTCTTCTTCTTCTTCTTCTTCTTCTTCTTCTTCTTCTTCTTCCTCTTCCTCTTCCTCTTCCTCTTCCTCTTCCTCTTCCTCTTCCTCTTCTTCTGCATCACTTCTGGCAGGGGTGAGCCAGGCAGGGAAAGTCTGGCCCTTTGCTTGCCTCTCATCTGCAGGGCTGGTGAATCCCCTCCTCCCCCAATCCCCTCTGCACAGGGCCATTCTAGAATTTTGCCCATGTCTTGGAAAGGACTGGCCCCCGGCCCAAATTGTCCTTGAGAACAGACTCACCGTGCCACCCAGGGAGCCGACTGTCACCCCACACACATCCGAAACATTGGCAGCAAGCTCCCTCCTCATGCAGAGCAGCAGCAAGATTCCGACATGCCAAACAACTTTGATCTGTAAACCATCAACAACAAAACAGGACGGCTGAGGGGGGGCGTCACCAGAATGTCACCCTCCAAAACAGAAACAAAGTGCTTTGAATTAAGCAGTTTTCTCAGCAACAGTCCAGCCAGGGCTGCACCTGTCTAAGTCTAACTAAGCTTAGAGCTGCCTGCCTCCCATCCTCCAAGTTAAGGTCCTAATTGCAGACCAGAAGAGACTGGGCACATTATAAATCCTGTGGTTCAAAATAATCTACTCTTCATAATTTAAAAACATTAATTTTTTAGAGGGTCAACTTATACAGATATATACAAAAGTATGAAGGCTATTGCTTAACACATTGTAAGCTGCCCTGAGTCTCTGGAGAAGGGCAGCATATAAATCGAACCAATAAATAAATAAATAAATAAATAAATAAATAAATAAACAAACAAACAAACAAACAAACAAACAAACAAACAAATAAATTTTCCAAAGCACCAGAGGGCAGGACAAGAAACAATGGATGGAAACTAATCAAGGAGAGAAGCAACCTGGAATTGAGGAGAAACTTTCTAACAGTGAGGACAATTAACCAGTGGAACAGCTGGCCTTCAGACATTGTGGGTGCTTCATCACTGGGTGTGTGTGTGTGTGTGTGTGTGTTAAGAAGAGACTGGACAGTCACTTGTCTGAAATGGCATAGGATGTCCTGCTTGAGCAGGGAGCTGGAGTAGAAGACCTCCAAGATCCCTTCCAGCTCTATTCTGATTCCGATTCCGATTCCGATTCCGATTCTGATTCTTCTGGAGCAATTCTGCCTATCTTCAGCATGACAATCTTTCAGATACATGAAGACCACTCTTGGGCTTTCTCCCAGCCTTCTTATCTCTAGGCTAAATATAGCAAGCAGCTCCATGCTTTTTCTTCCAAGTACATCATCTCGCTTGCTCTCCTCTGGATAGGCTCCATTTTGTCAATTCTCTTCTTAAATTTTGAGGGCATCTGGATGTGGTCCAGCCACGGCAGCCTAGGACCACATTTGCTTTGTTTGCAGCTTCAGCCCACCATTGACTCATGTTCAACTAATGTTCCACTAAGCCCCGCAGATCTTTTCACCAATAATGCTGCTGGTATGGTTTCTGACACCCCTCCCCCACCACCAACACATGCAAATGCTTTTTATTTTTCTAACCCAAATGATGGACACTGTATTTGTGTCCCTGTTGGAATTTATATTTTGGGCTTTGCTCTATTTCCAGTTTGTCTACATTCTCTTGCACCTTTAGAATATGGGGTTTGCTATCCTCTCATCTTTGTGTCATCTGAAAATCATGTTTTCTAATCATTCATTTAACTCAATTTGACCAATGCAAGGCTGAGAACAGAGCTTTGCAGTACATCACTCAGTGCTTCCCTCCAGCAAGACATGGAGCCATTGACATATTCTCATTCCTACAGTCATACATTCAACTAATAGCACATCTAATTAAGATTATTTATTTATTTATTATTTATTTATTAATGAGATTTATATGCCGCCCTATCTCCAGCCGGACTCAGGGCGGTTCACAACAGTTAAGAAACATCTAATAAAAAGTTAAAAAATTAAATCCAAATCTCATAATTTAACAGTTAAAAGTACAATTAAGACAACAAGTTAAAATTAAATTAGAATTAAAACCCCATCAGTCCAGGCTGGCCAAACAAAACAGCCACATTTTCAGGTCGCGGCGGAAAGAGCAGAGGTCGGGGGCCACCCGGAGCTCCAGGGGCAGTTGATTCCAAAGGGTGGGTGCACCCACAGAGAAAGCCCTCCCCCTGGGGGTCGCCAGCTGACACTGTCTGGCCGACGGCACCCTGAGGAGGCCCTCTCTGTGGGAAAGCACCGGGCGATGGGAAGCTGTTGCTGGCTGCAGATGGTCCCCCAAATATCCCGGGCCTAAGCCATGTAGGGCCTTATAGGTAATCACCAGCACCTTGAATCTCCTTGAAGATGAGCAACTTACAGTCTGCCATTTTCTCTGCTAATAATCACGACAGGTTTTGTTGAATATTTTGCTGAGTCAAATTATTGACTTTGACTGCCACATTTGCATGCTCAACTAAACTGCTCAGAAAAGTAGCTCAAGGCATGACTTCTTGATAACTACAAGTTCCTTAAAACACCAAACCATATTGTAAAATCTAACCCAAAGTAGTAGGCATACTGACGATGGATCTTCTGGAGAGCTCAGCGGTTAAGGCCTTTCTAAAAGTCAGGAAGCTATCCCTGGTGGTGCTGCCACTGAGATAAGCAAGCAGGCTCTCTTGCTTGCCCCAATGCCCCAGACTCTCGGGGCAGAGGAACCCAGAGCATCCCAGGTAGGGACACCCATGGTGGACGTGAACGCTTGACCTGGGCTAGCCACTTCCAACTCTAAGCAGGAGCCTCTGGCCACGCAGCGTTAAGCTATTCCTACCCTCCCACAAGCAGACAAGGGGGACCAACTGCAGCTTCCAAGCATGGCGCCAAAGCAGTGCCATGCATGGTGCCTGGCAGTAACCTAATGGGCAAGTGAGAAGGGTCCTCATAGCCAGAATCTTGTGCTCTAGAAAAAAGGCCTGCTTCCTGACTTTGAAGGGCTGATTCCTATATACTTTCCTGGAATCCGCAGGATGGAACAGATCCCAGATAATCCTGTACAATCTCAGCTTTCTTATCAGCAAAGATTCTGCCCTACAAAGTCGAGACTTCAGTAATTTCATCTGGGAAATGTTGCCCAAAACAGGAGCTCAGGCAAATTCTCAACTTTCCTAGAAGAGGTCGAACCACCTGAACAAGGTTGCTGCAGCCTCACCTGGGGCTGCAATGAGTGAAAGGAAAGAAGCATTGGGCTACCCTGATACCAGGTTTGGTGAAGTTTGCTTCTAGTCCTTCTTCAGCAGCATTTTGTGCAACCTTTCCGCAACTTCATTTCCCAGAGTACTCAGGAAGACAAGGCATCAACAGATCAAGGGCAAATTCCTCCTGGTTATTCAGGGTTTTGGTTCAACTGACCAAATTGCCAGCAGCCAACAGAGCACAGCCCTGGCATTCCAGTACTCCAACAAGAAGAACCGATGCCCTGAATGTATGTCCCCTGGCTCTCTCACATGGGATGGGGGAAGCAAGCAATACACAACATTCCTGTGACTTCTTTGAGAGCTCAGCAAGGGAAGGGAGGGAGGAAGTGAAGCCTCCTGGTTGAGTATGACAGGGTGGACCATGCAGAGAGCAGAACCTCAGGAGGAGAAGTCCCTGGGCAGCTAAAGCCCCCAGCCCTACCTTTGCATACTTGGCTCTTGGGTGAAGGCTCTTGGTCACAGCTTCAAACCATTCCTCTTCTCTGGGTGTGTCATTAAACATAGCAGCCTCTTGACTCAGATCCAGAGCCTGAAAGCTGGGTTCCAGAGAGGGACGGTTAGGTCCTTGATTCTCTATGGGAAGGAAACAGTCTTCTCCCAGCTCCGAAAAGAAAGTCAGGTAATCAAGTTGCCTTATGACCAGCACTGCTAAGCAGCACATGTGCCCATGAAGCAAAAGTAAGATTGGAGCAAAGCATTTCCAACAAGGTCCAAGGAGCATGGAGAGAGAGGCTGGCTTACCCCACACAGTAGACATCTGGAGGGTCCGCATCATGACTCAGCCAGGGCAGAAGGCTCTCCTGGGGTGCCCGACCATTCACATTGTACGAACCAACAAAGAACCTGTGGGAAACACTTGTTGCTCCATCTGGCTGGATAGGAGAGACCATCGCTCACTCTCAGTGGTGAAATCCAAATTTTTTTACTACTGGTTCTGTGGGTGTGGCTTGGTGGGCGTGGCTTGGTGGGCATAGCAGGGGAAGGATACTGCAAAATCTCCACTCCCACCCACTCGAGGAAATCTCCATTCCCACCCCACTCCAGGGGAAGGATACTGCAAAATCTCCATTCCCACCCCACTCTGGGACCAGCCAGAGATGGTATTTGCCAGTTCTCTGAACTACTCAAAATTTCCATACCGGTTCTCTGAACTACTCAAAATTTCTGCTACCAGTTCTCCAGAACCTGTCCGAACCTGCTGGATTTCACCAGCCAGAGATGGTATTTGCCAGTTCTCTGAACTACTCAAAATTTCCATACCGGTTCTCTGAACTACTCAAAATTTCTGCTACCAGTTCTCCAGAACCTGTCCGAACCTGCTGGATTTCACGCCTGCTCCCTCTGCCTTTTGCAATATGTGGAACCACAGCCCTTTGTTGGGAGTTTTTCAGCCTCTTTCAAGCAAGCTAAGGGGCCATCCTGCTCACCCAGTGTTCCTCCCAAAACCTGCTACGACCCACAATTCAGAGTCTGAACTTGAATCTAGCGATGTTGCTCCAACACAGCTTGAGCTTCACGATTGTCGGCCTCTGGACCCAGCAAGTCAGGATTCAACTGCATTTGCTCAGACACAGGCATCTCCTCTTCAGTTGGCACAGCCAGATGATGAGGCACAACCCCAAGCCCAGGTCTAGATGCATGCAGAGGCGAGCAGAGCAATGCTACTCCATAAGGCTCTTTGCTAAGTAAAGGAGGAGGCATGGGTAACTGCCGCCAGCTGCCTGCAGGCAGAATTAGGTAGGTCTTTTGCTTGCGGTTTTTGTTGGAAACAACCATTTGTAATACTAGTTTGTAACTCATTCCTGATTCTTCATAACTCTTTGACTGGCTGATTACCTGATTTGGCTTTCTATGACTTTTGGAACATATTTGGACTTCTTGGACTTACTACCATTACTATTACTAATCGGCATTTTCCAGCAAGCACTCTCTGCTAGACATTTGCATTTCATTCCCATCTGCTGCCGTTTTATCTATAGTAAGTATCTCAGCTTTTGCATGGGCCAGCAACTAGAAGACCATCCCATCCCCTTACTTGAAGTGGCAGAGGGATGTATACAGGTCCTCCTTCTGTAGGAGCTGGGACTTGAGGGTGGGTCGCCTCTGGCCCAGGGTCTCGCTGGACGCCAGTACATTCGGGGTTTCCTCTCTGTGGGTCTTGCTTGGCCTAGAAATGAGGAGGGAGGGAGAGAGGGAGGGTCTTCCAGGAGGGCAGAACAAGGACAAAAAGGCGGGTAGGAGGAGCCCAAAGCACAGATGGACTTAAAATTGGTCCTGGGTCAGCAAATTAACAAGAGTACGATTGTTCCCTTCGTCTTTGGTCAGGAACTGGGTTTTCTACCCAGCAAAGAGCTCCCCAATAACGACTTCAAAAGGCCTCTGCCAAGAACCTGCCTTTTCTCTCTCCCTCTCTCCCTCCCTCTCTCTCACACACACACCCTGCCTGCATCTGTTCCCATGGGCCTGGGGGACGGGAAGGGCTTTGTGCGGGCAGCTACTTTTCCTGGTGAAGGAAGAGGCAGGAAAAGGGCTACACCTGGGCCTCCTTTGCTGCTATTCTCCAGCTGGCTAAATAGGTCTGGGCCTGCTTGGATGGGAGACCACCAGGAAAGCCATTGGCTAGGTTGAACGCGGAATATTCTGGAGGAAGGCAATGGCCAACTTTCTCTAGAGCTGCTTGGGTTGTGCCCTGAAAACCAACGAAAAGGCAAGTTTTCTAGTGCTAGACAGAAATGCTAGGATGCCTCTGCTTGGATTTGTTCAGAAGGTACGCAGAGACTCTGCCTTTCCACCACTCAGATGGAAGGGTGGTTCTGCCAGTGAGGTGTGCTTTCCAAGAAAACCATGGACGCTGTGATCAGAAAGAGGCATCTGCATACTCTCAACTGGCAGTTTAAAGTTGCCCAACAACAGCCACTCTCTGGACAGATGCAAAAAGTGACACAGTGAAAACAGGGTAAAGTGCATGTACACGCACACACACACACCATCTGAGACTGCTTTGGAAGGCTGGTTGGGTGATTGTGAGCACCTACCTGGGTGCCCCACCAGGCACGCTCTGCCCTTTGCTCCTGCCAGGCCACGTCTCCCCCTCTGGTGGGAGGTCTTCTTTCCCAGCAATGCCTGGAAAAACCGAACACCCCTGAGAAGAAGCGTGGTCAGATCTTCCTGCAGGCCACGCAGGCTTCAGAACTGTTCCACCTGGGGTGGGGGGAAGATGTGTGCCTTAATGAGGAAGAGCAAATGCATGAAGGAAGAGGAACAGCAGGACTCCAGCAAATGGGTAGCAGAGGTCCCAAGAGCAAAGCTGTTCATGGCTAATTCCCAGGCTGGGTTTTGGCTACAATAGGCTCTCCTCCTACATTCATTGGATCTTTCTAGACTAGCCTTATGGGTTTGGAAGTGGAAACCATTGACTGACCTAGGGGTTACACCCAGAGGTCAACGGTGCAAGATCTAAACTGCTGGCAATTAAGGTGTGGATACCTGAACCACGTTTAGCTCTGTGGGACGGACACAGGTGCCCGCATGTAACAGTGGAGGGTGAAGGTTTTCTTGAGGGGAAGAAGTGGAGCCATAGAGAGCCGCTCCCTGAAAAAAGGGCTGAGTAGTTTACCACTTCTGGAGCGGGTCACATTCCTTTGGCAAAACCAGAAGGTAGGCTGGTGGCTGAACTGCCAATATTCTTGTCAGTCCAGCTGCCAGGCAGCATCCCTCAGGCATGCTTGGGGCATACCGTATTTTTCGGAGTATAAGACACACCTACCTTTTTTGGTGAGGAAAAGAAGACAAAAGAAATCTCCCTCTGCCTCTCAGCAATTTTGCCTCTTTGCAGCAAACAGCCTGCTTTACTTTCATTTTCATTTTCAGCATAGCTTGATTAGCACAAGAAAAAAAAACTGCTCCAACAATTTACCTGTTTGCAGCAAGCAGCAGAGCCCTGCGCAAAACAGCTGAGAGCAAATCAGCTGAGAGTTGGGAGGCTGATCCAATCAACTTGTGCTAATTAGGCTGTGCTGAAGCTGAAAGCTGTTTTTTTCTTGCTGTTTGCTTGCAAGGAGGTAAACTGCTAGGAGGCAGAAGCCAAAGGGTGGATGCCAGTGGGTGGGCAGGGCTACATTCAGTGTATAAGACGCACCTAAATTCTCACCCCCTTTTGGGGGGGGAAAGGTGCGTCTTATACTCCGAAAAATATGGTATATCCTTGGGAGACTCCCTCAATCTTTCCTCTCTGGGTAAAGTTCTGTTCTTTCGAGAGCAAAGACTGAATGTTGGCACCCAAGAGAGGAGATCTCTATGTCTGAATCAGAAGTAATAATTGGCTGAATTTACCCAAAGGAGCCAGAGGAGGACAAAGAAGCAGAAAACTTTCCTTTAGGATTTTACTTATTTCTGGGAAGCAAGTAACTGTTCAAGTTAGATGTTGCATTGAGTTGAATGTCTTATGTCTGTTCGCATTCAAGAACTTGGTCTTAGTCCTATTTCTCTGCAGTTAGGACATTCCCTGTAATTTCAGAGGGAAGTTCAAGATTTATGCTTTTCCTTGATCTCTTGCAATCTAAGCTATAAAACGCAATCCATCTCTCCCTTTTTCTTTTTTATAGTGAACCAATTATAGTGAACGAATACCCTTCATTGGTCTGCCCAAAACATTGCCTATATTTTTGTAAATTGAGTTTCATGTCTCTTACTTTTAATGTGGCTGCATTTTTTAACATTTGCAAGGGAGAACTGAAACCTCTGGTTACCTGCAGCAAAGCCAGGAGGCTGCATTGCAGAAGCTATTTCATTTTCTCCACATTTATCTTTTATTTTCCAGAAAAACAGGATGGGATGTGGGACCCCATCATATTGCTGAAAAGGTGAATAGGTGACATCTGATGAGGTGCCCTAGAACTCCTGGGGGAAACAGCAGGAACTGGCAGGCAGCTACTTCAGGGCTGGAGATAAATTGGGAAGTGGGAAAAGTAGTTTTATGAAGAGGTGATATGTAACCCCAGCACTTCATCCTGTAGATCCAGACCTGCACCTACAGCCTGGCCCTCAGGTGTGCCTTCTTCCTCCATTTCCAGATTGGGAGCCTGTGGGGAGGGTGGGTCTCTCTTTTTAAATTGGAAGGATTCTGCTTGGGAGATAGGATTCCTGGAGGGTCAAAGGACTCCTGATTTTATTTAAAGAAGATACAGAAAGGAGTTGAGAACAGCATAAAGTCATAAGGCCGGAAGGGATCTTGGAGGTCTTCTAGTTCCACTCCCTGCCATGACAGACCTTATATCATCCCGGTCAAACAGTTGTCCAGTCTATTTTTGAAAATCCTCAGAAAAGGAGCACCTACAATTCCAGGCGGCAAACTTTTCCACTGATTAATTGTTCTCATGGTCAGGACATTTCTCCTTAGTTGTAGGTTGGATCACTCTTTAATGATCTTCCATCTGTTATTTCTGGTCCTGCCTTTAGGAGTTTTGGAAAATAAGTCGACTCCCATCTCTCTGTGGTAGCTCCACACATACCAGAAAACAGCTATCGTGTCACCCCAATTCTTCTCTTTTGTTACGCTAGACATACTTCCTAGTTCCCTTAGCCATTCATCGTAGGATTTAGCCTCCAGACTCCTTATCATCTTAGTTGCTTTTCTCTGCACATTTTCCAGGGCCTCAGCATTATTTTTGTATCATGGTGACCAGAAATGGATGCAGTAATCCAAGTGTGGCCTCACTAGTGCAATATAAAGTGGCACTCTCACTTCTTGTGATCTTAATGCTATCCATCTGTTCGTTCAGCCTAGGACTGCATTGGCTTTTTTCGGCAGCCCCAACTCCCTCTCCATGCACATCCCCATGTTCTCATGCACCAGCATCCAAAAGCTATAAGGCTGAATGAAGGCAACACAAGCACCCTGCAACTCTCATGGCTTGGCGTCTTGGCATCTGTGGCACTCTTGTGTCCAACCAGCCACCCTTGTGCACTGGGACCTGGGGGGAGGGGAGGCCTTTTTGCACTGCAGAATGATATGCCAGCCAAGTCCCTCTAGCAGCAGCAGCAGCAGCAGCAGCAGCAGCAGCAGCAACAATTCCTACCTGCAACACAGCGTTTCCTAACCTCCCTCAAGAACATCTGGGTCTGGGAGCCAAAAGGCAGTCGCACCAGCAAGTTGGCCTCAGGTGAGACAATCCGGATGGTGACATCTGATCCTGCATGTGAATAAGGCAAGAGTGGCCTTGCTGTGCGCAAGAGGCTTCCATTGCAACCACATCAGTGTGCAAGGGAGCTCTGCCTCTTCCTTGCAGACCAGCTCCATCCGATCGCGGCTCCCTTTACTCCATCAGGGCCAAGCAGGAGAGGCTCCACGACTCCAATGCAGCATGCAGAGCTGAGTGCTCTTCCAGGGTTCAGCTGGGGCTTCTCCGAGCAAGTAGGAGGGCAAAGAGGGAAGAGCAGCTGGCAGGAAGAGGTGAACAACTGTCTAGCGAGTGACTGAGCAGCCAATTCTGCTGAGAAGCTGCAGGAGGAAGAGGGTTAGGAGGGAGGAAGGAGGGAAGTTATACAGCAAAGGTGAAGGGCACTTCGAGGGAACAATTTTCCCCTCTCAATTAACTGGGGAAGAAAGAGAGGCCAGGGTCTGATCAGGCACAGGACCAACTTTGCACGTGACACGTTTGAGGTCATGCTGGTAATAGTCTGGGGCATATTTCTGCAATTAGAATCTCTGAATTCAAAACTGTTCTTAAGGACATTGCAGAGGGAAAGGATGCAGTTGGGCCTTCAGGGGAGAAAGAGAGATGTGCACCAGCTTCCTGCAAGAAGTCCAGCGGGAGAGTTTAGACCTTGGCATGAGAAACAGGAACACCAGTTCTGTTGCCTCCCCAGATAGGGGCCTCTCCCACTTGCACCTCCTTAGGGCAGAAACGTGACCCAGCTTCATTCATGACAGAACTTTCCCTATCCAACTTCCAATGGAGAAAGACTGAGGTAGCAAAGCAGGAGTCTTTCAAAGTGCCACCATTGTCCATGGATAGAAGAGGAACATAAGCAGAGAAAAGCAGAGGTCTCTGTTTGTGCTGGTGGTACTTGGCAATAAGATTCTGTACTCTCTCTCCTATCCAGGGTCTATGATGGCAGCCATTTCAGTGTGTCAATAGCTCTCTTGTTCCTATGTTCATGGAAGTTTCTGGAGAACTATCCTGTGATAGGTACCATATTTAAGGAAAGATGAAGTGGAGCATTCCACAGCAAACAAGATGAGAGGAGCTTCACTTGAAGGTGCTGGGTATGCTTATCCTGAGGAGGAGGAGGAGGAGGAGGAGGAGGAGGAGGAGGAGGAGGAGGAGGAGGAGGAGGAGGAGACAACTACAGGAGACATGGTCATGGTCTTAAAGCATCTGAAGGGCTAAAAAGATGCAGCAGGACTATTCAGAGTTGCTCCAGCAGACAGGACAAGGACAAAGATTTTAATTACAATAAGTACATTTCAGCTGGATATCAGAAACAATTTTGTAATAGTAGAGATTAAACACATCGGAACTGATTGCCTCAGGAGGCCATAGACTTTCCTTTGCTGGAGATGTTGGAGCAGACTCTGGTGACTCTCTGCCCCAAGGCATGCTGCAGATCCCACACTAACAAGAGGTTGCACAAGAGGACAGAGTCACGGAATACAATGGTCCTTTTATATTCTACTTGTTTAGACCCCCAACCTAGAAAATTATGCCCAGGTCTGAGCACTGTATTTAAGAAGATTTTGGACAAACTGGAAACAGTTCACAGAGAAACTATAAAGATGGTCAGAAAAGCAGAAATTAAGTTCTCTGAAGAGATATTGAAGAAACTGGAAATGTTTTGCCTTCAGAGACAAGACTTGGGAGTAAATGATGACCGCTCTTCAATTATCTGAAAGGAAATCATGATTTTTATTCTATTCCACGTTGGAACAGGAGATACATCCATTTAAGTTTCAGGAAGGCTGTTTTCAACGGAAGATTAGAAAAAGTGTAATAATAGAAAGAACAAATCTGGCAGGAAACCAATCACCCAGTGAAATGGTGCGCTCTTTCTTATTCCCCAGTGTTCGTGTTCAGGCCAGACAACCATCATTTGTGAAGCAAAGGATTCGGCTTCATGATTAAATGATGCCTCCAAATTCTGAGATTTTATGATCTACAGAACTAGAGCTCGAAAGAGAAACTCATCGTTGTCAGCCTTTGTGTGCTGTGAATAAAAAATGACTTTCTTTGACTGTATACTTTAAGATTTCCAGGAAATACAGGTAACCCTCAACATACAACTGGTCATTTTGGAACTGTCTGAAGTTACACCACCACTGAAAAAAGTGACTTATGACCATTTTTCACATTTATGACCGTTGCAGCGTCTGTGGTCATGTGATCAAAATTCACACTCTTGGAAACTGGCATGTATTTTTGACGGTTGCAGTGTTCCAGGGTCATGGGATCACTTTTTGCAACCTTCTAACAAGTAAAGTCAATGGGGAAGCCAGATTCACTTAACAATCATGTTACTAAATGTCTCTGGAGATTCTGTGTCATCCAGGTCATGGCTGTCCCAGAGGTGCTTTTTCATGAAGCCTGGACTTCCTTGGTTTTCTTTGAAGATGTTTTGCGTCTTCAAAGTCCAGTTGCCTCTTGAAAAACCACCTTTGGGACAATGTTACTAACACCCAGTGGTGAAATCTAAAATTTGTTCTGTGGGCGTGGCTTGGGGGGGCAATGTGAATGGGTGGGCGTGGCCATTTTTTTTTTACTTTTAAAACCATTTTTTCTACAACCTCTTCCGCAAAGAGGTTGTAAAAAAAATGCTTTCAAAAGGATCTGACGATCCCAGCTGAGTTGCCTGATTGGCAGAGGCTTTTTTTCTTTTAAATGCCTCTGACAATCAGGCAACTCAGCTTGGATTGTCAGAGGCTTTTAAAAGCATTTTTTCTACAACCTCTGAAGAGGTTGTAGAAAAAATGCTTTTAAAAGCCTTTGACGATCCCAGCTGAGCTGCCCAATCATCAGAGGCTTTTTTTTTACTTTTTAAAAGCATTTTTTCTACAACCTCTTCGGCCGAAAAAATGCTTTTAAAAGTTAAAAAAAAAGCCTCTGATGATTGCGTGGCTCAGCTGGGCATGGGGGAGAGGGCAGGGATTTTTGCTACTGGTTCTCTGAACCACCCGCCTCCATCGCTACTGGATCAGGCGATCCAGTCCGAACGGGGAGCATTTCACCCCCTGCTAACACCCCATTCCTAAGAGTTCTGTAAGGGGCGTGCATAAGCGCACCAGCGTGCCTACCGTCCCTGTCCTAATGTTTTCTTTTATTCATATCCTTTTCAAGTATTTATAATTACGTTTACACTTGTATCTGTCATAAAATGCATGCTTGATGAAATAAATAAAATAAAAAATAAAATTTTGAAGGCAAAAAAACAAAACAAAACCCTGCAGTGAGGCAAAATTTACTTAACTGCTGTCTTACTTAGCAATGGACATTTTGGCTGAATTGTGATTGTAAGTCGAGGATTACTTGTATGGAAGAGTGATGCTGTATGTGACAATATAAGTCAAATTATCGAGATGAAAGTGACTCTCTAAACAAACGGGGTGAATATAAATTGATTCTAGCCCTCATGAGACAAGGGGAAAAAGGGGGGGGCTTGTGAAGTTTAGAGTGGTCTCTCCCCTCTAGAAGAGGGTTTCCTTCTGTAGCTTCAGCGTTTCTTGCCTCTTTTCTCCTGATTCATGAAACCGGATTTTTCCGCTTGGGAATAGTTTTCTTGCACATTGGTTGCATGACAGGCTATAGAGGCTGGTTTTCCTGGATGCAGAATTTAGGTGTCAGGGGCCGGTTTTTATTCTGGTGCACAACTGTCACAGTGATGACCTTCTGGCAAGAGAGGGAGGTGCAAAGGGATTTCCAGAAAAAGAAAAAGGGTTTTCGTTTGCGGAGGTTACAGCAGGACAGGAGGCAGTCTGCTTACCTAGAGTGGGCAGCTCCGTCTCCATAGCCACTGCCAGAAGAGAGAGAACAGTTAGTCTGAACTGGCTGCATTAGTGGAAGTGCCACAAGTGTGCCACAGCCCCCTCCCCCACCAGATCACTGGTGAATGAGAGTCACACCCGTGTGGAAATGCAGATGTTGCCTTTGGTCTGTCCAGAGCCAGCTATCTGGATATGTATGGTGTGCCTAACTAAGCCAGTGAAAACTGTAGCAGCAGCTTTTTCTTGATCTGCTAACCTATTGGACTTCCGGTGAAAACCTGGCTTTTCTGGCAGGCCTGGGGCCGTTGATCTCGCTCTTGTGATCTGGCGAGATCCAGCCATGAATGGTGTGAATGAGTTTTTAAAGTTTTTAATGTTTAATTAATTAAATTAAAATTGGTCTCCTTGACCCTTGCTTTGGTTTTAACAGGCTTGGCTGGCAGGCTGCTCTGGTTAGTTTATGGTTTAATGCAGTGGTGGGTTTCAAAAATTTTTTACTACTGGTTCTGTGGGTGTGGCATGGCTTGTTGGGCGTGGCAGAGGAAGGGTACTATAAAATCTCCATTCCCATCCCACTCCAGCAGAAGGTTACTGCAAAATCCCCATTTCTTCCCGATCAGCTGGGACTTGGGAGGCAGAGAAGAGATGGGGGTGGGGCCGGTCAGAATTTTTACTACCGGTTCTCCGAATTTCCGCTACCGGTTCTCCAGAACTGGTCAGAACCTGCTGAAGCCCACCTCTGGTTTCATGTATTCCGCAAGCCCAGAAACTGGATTAATCTGGGAAGCGGCTAAGGTTGTTCTGTGGACCCAATTCCGGGGAGGATGGGTTCCTGTTCGTCTCCTCTCCAGGGCTGGAGACCAAGCGGGCAAAATCCAGGCGAGAGGGACGCAGCAGGCATCCAAGCGCCCTACCTTCTTCCAGCGCAAAGCCCTCCTCCAGGCGCAGCACCCGCTCCAGGCACAGGTCCTCGGCGGCAATGGCCATGCGGCGGTGGGTGTAGAGGCAGACCCTGCGGGCACAGCAAGGAGAGCCCCTCTCCCGTCAGCCCCCGTCGCCCTCGGCCCCAAGGCAGGCCCGGCTCCAGCCTGGCAGCGGCCGCCTCTACCCCCCTCCCTCCCGGCCAGAGTCAAAGGCCCCGCCAAGCCAAGGCTCAAATGGTCGCTTCCCTCCCTCCAAGGCTGGCACCGTCGCTGGGCAAGAAGCTGCTGGAGATCCCAAGGGCGGCCGGGCAAGCGAGCAAAGGCTCCTCTGGCGAGCCGGGGCATCACCCCAAACCACCCCGCTCCATTCACCGCCCCTTCCCGAGCGTCCCCGGCTGGCTGGTGCCGGCTCGGCTCGGCTTCCCTTCCCCCGGCCTCCGCGGCGGCCGGCACTCACAGGCATCTCCCGCCGCTCTCCACCAGGCCCAGCAACCGGCTCTCCAGGCTCGCCTGCCCCACCACCAGGGTGCCTTGCACGGCCTGCGGCGCCCAGTCAAGGGAGACTTCGGAGGAGCCGCTCGCCCACCCGCCACATCAGCCGCGCCCTGCCTGCCCCCACCGGCCAGCGCAGCAGCGGCTCCAGCCCGCCGGCGCCTCTCTCGGCCAAGGATACGGCGAGGCACGTCTGCCCGGCGGCCAGCGCCTCCTGCACCACCCCCGACTGGTCCATGCGGGGCGCCGGGCGCACCGAGTCCGCGGAGCCTCCGGCCCAGCTGCGGCGGCGTCTCCGGACAGCAAGGGCGGAGGGAGGCGCCGGGCGGTGGCCTCGGGGGGGGGGGGGAGAGGCTGACGAAAGCCTCGGGGGCTGGCGGGGAGCAGAGCGGGCGGGGACGGAGGAATGACTCGCCGGGGCTCCTCGCTCGAAGGAGAGCGCTCCCATCCGGGCCCCGATGGCGCGGGACTCCGGGCAAGAGCAACTCGCTCTCGGGACCTCTCGCCGCCTCCGTGCGCCCCAGCCTCTCCGGGAAGGCGGCTCCCTTTCTTGCCCCTCTCCGGCCGTCCTGTCCCAGCTGCGGAGTCGGCGAGCGGAGCCCCCCCCCGGCTTAATGGGGCGGCGCCCCCCCCCCCCCCCCCCCCCCCCCGGATTCCCAGGCAATCACACTCCCGAATCGCTGCAGGGTGTCGGAGACTTTATTTGCACAGGGGGATAAAGGAAGCAGCGCACGTCCAACATCGAGCAACGGGAAGAGCCTGTCCAGGGAGGAGGGGGAGCATCCGCCTCCCGTTCCCCTAACGCTACTCCGCTCTGGCGGTGCGGCCGCGGAGGAACCTGGCCGGAGTATCGCGCAGCGGAGGCCGGGGTGCGGGGGTGGCTCTCCTGCCTGGAAAGCGCCGCTTCCTTCGGTGGGAGGAGGAAGGTCAGCGAGACGTCCTGCCAAAGCGCTACGGAACACGTTGAGCCCCTGGAAAAGGGAGCTAAAAGGGGAAGAGTGGGAAGTATAATCTTGGAGGCAGTCGCAGCAGCTCCTGGCGAATGCAAAAAGAACGCTCGGCGGAACGTCAGAATGAAATTGGCTCCCGAGGAGGAAAAATGCAAATAACAAAATTAACAGCTGCGGGAAATGAAATGGAGGGAAGGCTATATAAAGCGTAAAAGTAGAGGGCCGCAAGGGATTGCTCGGATTAAAAGGGGCAGAGAAAACGCAGTGCAATTTTTGCAGAAAGTAAAACGTTATTTACATGAGTGAAGGCAGCCAAAGAAGGAGCCTTCGACAGAGTGAGTGGAATTAAATATGGAAGGAATGAAACGATTGGGGATGAAAGTGGAGTGAGGACATTGCTCTTAGGAGTCCTCCAACAATAGCGATACTGTATGTCAAAATATGGGATTCAGATAAACATTTGAGATAAACGTGTTAGGGGTCAAAACAGAAGGTAAAAAGCAAGCCACACATGCTGTGAGAATGTTGACAGATGGCACAGCTACAGAGATATTTTGTGTAACTGGTAGATTTTAACCCTGGGAAAGTAGTTGTGGGAATTGTGTAATGTGTGTGAAGACTGCTTCTAGGCCAGGCAGTCTGCAGCATGCCACTGTCACTTCCCCATACAAAGAGGAGTATAACCAGAGGGAATGGAAAACTTACACGGGCATTAGCTTGTTAAGCAAGCCTGGGAAGCATGTAACACAATTTGGATTGTAAGTGCATAAGCAGCAGGCAGGGAGTGTGCAAATGACAATTTTGCTGTTCAGCAGGTCATTGAAAAAATGTATGAGTGACAGAAAGCAAGTTATTTGTATGTTGCTTTATTTAGAGAAGGCATATGATAAAGTAGAGAAGCTTGAATTGTGGAATGTCTTGTGAGAATATGGAGTGGATGCAGCAAGAATGGTCACATGTGGAAAGTGTTATGACTGAAGGCTGAATTGTGAGGGAAGGGAAGGCTGGGAAAGGTTGGTGGTGTCCTGCAAAAGAACAAGGAAATAAGTGGTAAAGAATTAACAGGAATAAAGGAAGCAGCGAGAAGCAAAGCTTTGAAGGAGGAGGATGAGTGAAACAGACAGAAGCATAAACTAGAGTTAGCTAGATTTCCTTTTCTTTCCCTTGGCTTAGTGTCCCTTCTGCTGTTGGGCCTGAATCCAAGTGTTCCCATCAAGGGAGTCAGAAGGACAACCTGGAGGGGCTCAGCACAATCATCCCAAGGAAAAACACTTCCTAGTGGTAGCAGCGATAGCTTGTCCTGGAAGAGGGTTTCCTGCAGGCACAAGAGAACCCTTCATTCCAGCTCCAAGGATATGGGCCATTCAGAGTCAGCCCATGCCAGAGTCCCTACAACCTGGCTGAAGAATATTACGCGCCTCTGCCGAGCCTCCGTTGTACACACACAGCTAATATTTGGAGTGAAAACAGAATAACCTGAGCACTAGCAGCATAGAAAGAAGAGAAACGTTTTCCTGAATGCCTCTTGCTTTCCTGGGAAAAAGTAGCCGAGGAGAACAGAAGGGAGAGGATGGGGAAGAAGTTCCCTCCTGCCCAGCAGATCTTAGGGTTGAAGGCACTGAGCAGTGGATCAGTTGGTCCCAGCCAAGAAGGATATGGAGCAGCTGAGACTGAGCAGGGCAGCCCAGCCCAGGAGCTGGAACAGAGAAGCCGAAGCCAGGGCGCTCGCCCTGTTGAAGTGCACTTTCCCATCCAGCTTCAGGCAGCTGGTTTTAGGCATAGCCTGGCAGCACTCTTGGTAGCACGCAGCAGGAGATTTGTGGGAGCACGGGTGGCCCTTGGTTTTGCAAGTTCGGCTACAGCCTGCCACAAAATGGGAGCCTGTTTTTTTCATCTGGAAGGAAAGAGAGGAGTTGTAGTTGGTGAGTGAGGCAGGAGCAGACACCATGGGGAATGCTTCCTCTCCAGGAAGCCGGGCCAGGGGTGAAATGCTCCTGGTTCGGACCGGATCATCTGATCCGGTAGCGATGGAGGCGGGTAGTTCGGAGAACCGGTAGCAAAAATCCCTGCCCCCCCCATTGCCCAGCTGAGCCGCGTAATCATCAGAGGCTTTTTTTTTTATTTTTAAAAGCATTTTTTCTACAACCTCTTTGGCCGAAAAAATGCTTTTAAAAGTTAAAAAAAAAGCCTCTGATGATCGTGCGGCTCAGCTGGGATCATCAGAGGCTTTTAAAAGCATTTTTTCTACAATTTTCTTTGGCCGGAGAGGTTATAGAAAAAATGTTTTTAAAAGGAAAAAAAGCCTCTGCTGATCAGGCAAGTCAGCTGGGATCATCAGAGGCTTTAAAAGCATTTTTTTACAACCTCTTCAGCCGAATCTTCAACAGAAGATACAGTGGTCTGAAGCCGCACCCTCCCTCAGCTGGTGAGTAAGAAATCAGCTAATTTAACAATTAAATCATAAAATGCCAAAAGTCTGTGGTTGTTAGAAGTCTAATTAACCAGGAAATTCCAAGACAACAGTAACTTTTTATAGTCAACGAAAAGCCCACTAGCAGCACCACCTTTGGACGGTATCAACCAGAGACATTGTTCTGCCATCAACTTTTGGGCGGGGAGTGGGGGGGGGGGTTGCAAGAGAAAGTAACCTTCACTGTGTTGGCATCTATCCTTAGAAAGTGGCAGCAGACGGAGCAAAGCTTGTCTTTGCTATGAGCCGCGGTGGCGCAGTGGTTAGAGTGTAGTACTGCAGGCTAAGTCTGCTGATCACCGGCTGCCAGCAGTTTGGCAGATCGAATCTCACCAGGCTCAAGGTTGACTCAGCCTTCCATCCTTCCAAGGGGGGTAAAATGAGGACCCAGGTGGTTGTGGGCAATGTGCTGACTCTGTAAACTGCTTAGAGGGGGCTGTGAAGCACTGTGAAGCGGTATATAAGTCTAAGGGCTATTGCTATTGTCTTTCAAAGGTCCTGGCAGACATCGTACCTCACAGAAGTCGTTGCCCACAATGCAGCTGGTTGAGGACTTCTGACCTTTGTAGCAGCCTTCTCCATGGCAGGTGAAGCTCGAGCAAACCTTTCCCTAGAAAGGCAGGAAGAGAAGCTAAGCTCCGCCATGCAGCAGGGAAGTCTTCCTCTAGAACCACAAACATTTGAGGGGCCAGAAGAGGTTCCCACGTGGCAGCCGATCCGACTCAAATGAGTTTGCAAAGAGGACATCCCACGGAACACTTACATTGCGGGGGGGTGCTGCGGTGGTCTTGGTGGTAGTGGTGAGAACTGGGGTGGTGGTGGGTGCCCTGTCACCTGGAAGAGAGAAGAAAACTTTGACTCCTTGCTCTCCCAGGAAGCTCTCCAGGGTGGCCCTCAATACAAGCACTGAAACTACTGGGCAGGCAGCTCCTGCTCCAAGGAGGTCAGAGAGAGAGAGCCAGGGAAAGCCATACCAAGAATGCCTCTTGCCGACAGTTCCATCAAGCCAGACCACTGGCCATGGCAGAAAGCCCCTGGTGGGCTGTCCCGTCATTGAGCAAATCCACCCGAAGAGTTTACCGTATGCCGTGGCATTGAGCTGCAGGCAGTTGGACGAGTTGCAACATTCCATAATGCAGAGCTCCAGGCCCAGTCCTCCGCTGTGAAGGCACATCTCCGTGGCATTGGCACTTCCACAATCACTACTGCATCGGGCTGTGTAGCTGGTGCTGTTGAGACGATAGAGCTGCGAGAGCCAAAGAGCATGAGCAGGGCTGGCATTTCAGGAATCCCTGCTAGGGCTCAAGAAGGAGCACCCCTTGTCATCATCCCCCCCAATTAGGCATCCCCAGAATCCTTACCTCACAGTGTGAAGCATTGTGGCAGATCTGGGAATTGTTGCCATGGGCCTCCTCCTGGTAGCACTTCTCTCCCGAACACCGGAAACTCTGGCAAGTGAGCTGCCAGAAAAGAGAGGGAGCTGGAGGTACACAGCGACTGAACCAAAGTCCTTCTTGTGCCAACACTCTGGGGGCCAGCTATGCCTCTATGGCATCCCACAAGCCTCCCCATGTCTCTTCACTGCTGCCTCCACCCAGACCAACCTCCCCCTCCCTCAAAGGGCCCCCATTTTGCTGTCCAGCTAAGGAAAAAAAGGCTCCCACTTCTGCTCAGTAGCCCAGTTTCCTTACAGGTATCACACCTGTCCCATTCAGGGAATGGTTGGAGAAAATGGCTGCTCCAGAGATCGCATCTGACTCTGGAAAAAAAGAGAGAGAGAGAGGGATAAGCAGCTGGACCAATGGGGGGGGGGGTCTTGTGAGGTAGAACAGGAGCAAGATTGGGTATTTCAGAGAGGCAAGGGAAATAGTGGTAGAGAGGCCTAGTGGTCCCCCTTCTGGTCCATTGAGGCCTTCCTGGCTCTTTCCTTTGGTTCCCACAGCCAGCCATCTCACCTGCTTCTGCATAAGGACCTTGGGTGCCAAAGTAGGAAAGACTGCAGAGGAGAAGGAGGCCTGCAGACAAACAGAGAATGTGGGCTTTCAGGGGTGGGAGGGTAGGAGAACCAGAGAACAACATTTCCAGTTCTTTGGAAAGTAATCTACAGGACCCCAGTTCATGTGCCTTCTCTTTCAAAGTCCAGGCACATATTTTGGGATCCCCTGGGACAAGACTTCAGTGTTTGATAGGCAGAAATTCAGTAGAGTAGAAGTAGAATAGAATGGAAGTAAAGTGGAAGGACAGTTTTCATGCTTCAACCTTGATTGGTGCCTGGCTGTCTATTCCTCCAGTCATCTTCTCTAAGGACCCTCTTACCTTGGGCTGAAAGGATCCGGAAGTTGGGGTGGATCATCCTGGAGCACAGGACTCACTTCTCTAGATGGAGGGGAGGAAGGCCCCTGCGTTCTCTGCAGAGATTGTGCTTCTTTTGCTGCAGAGGAAAAGCAGACAAGATCCACACACCATGCAAAGCCATGGGAAAGCTCCCACCCACCCAGGCTGCTGAATCCTGATCCCTGCAGCGTGGCCTGCTACAGCCGCAGGCACTGGGTACTCCACAGCTGTGCATCATGTTATGGTGGGGAACCGGTTGCCAAGGCAACCCCCACAACTAGGGTCAAGGAGGAGCCCTCATTGTGGTTGGGTCATGACTGTATTTCCTCAGCTTAGCTGGGGACAGTCCAGAGCAAGTAGTTCAGCTGCCTGGCTTCTCCCATCCCGTCAGCGGCTGGTGGCCAGACCTGACCAAGCTCTCTCTCCATTCTTGACCCATCCAGCTGCAAAGAAAGCTGCTTTTTCAAAGTCTTAGGGAGGATCAATCTCCCTGACCTGGGAAACCTGATGAGTGGTGCTCCCACTCTGGTGCTGCTAAGGTCTGTTGCAGAAAAGAGTGTTCCTTTAGGCAGTTTTTGGAAGGGCTTACGTCCAGTCTATCTGAGTAGTCTATGTAAGTCTAGTCTAGTGAAAAGAAGGACTAGGTGAGACATGATAGCAATGTTCCAATATTTGAAGGGCTGCCACAGAGATGAGAGGAGTCAACCTATTTACCAAAGCATCAGAAGTCAAGACAAGAAGCAATGGATGGAGACTAATCAAGGAGAGGAGCAATCTCAAACTAAAGGAAAAAAAAATCCTGACAGTGAGAACAATAAACCAGTGGAATGTCTTGCCTTCAGAAGTTGTAGGTGTTCCATCACTGGAGGCTTTTAAGAAGAGACTGGACAGCCACTTGTCTGAAATGGCATATGGTCTCCTGCTCAAGTAGGGGGTTGGACTAGATGACCTCCAAGATCCCTTCCAACTCTGTTATACTGTTTTATGTTCTCTCTCTCTTCCTCCCTCCCTCCCATTTATCTGCTGTCTGAACTATTTTTACTAGCATGAATATCTATTATTTGGAGGGAATGACTTGTGTCTGCATTTGCTAAGTGAGGCTACAATAAGTCTTATGTCCCACACAGTGTCTGTGTCAAACAGGGAAAGACCACCTTATTTGACAGTCTTTCCTTTTCAAGCAGGTCCTGCAAAAAGCTCCCCCTCCCCCAGGGGGGTCTCCAGTGTTACTGCTAAGAACTTTTGGGGACCCCAATATATGCTGAGAGATCCAAAGTCAAAGTTCTCTGCCCAGGACAAGGACTTCCACCAGGAGGCTCATTAACTGGGCAGCTGCTGACCAAGACATTTCTGAAGGCTGAGTCGCCCCTTGATCAGTGCAGGGCCCGACTCAAAGCCCCCCCCAACAAAGGCTGTTCAGCTCCTACCTGAACACATAAAGGGTAGATCGGCCAACCCCCCACCCCCATTCAGTCAAAATCTGCCTGCTTGAAGTTAAACATTCCATATTTATTTATTTATTTATTTTATTGAATTTCTATACCGCCCTTCTCCCGAAGGACTCAGGGCGGTGAACAGGTTAAGATTTCATATACGTACGTGTAACTAATAAATTGAGTCAACTTGGTGTATCTGCTAAGACCTTGGCATAGAATTTAGATGTTTATGCTAGCCCTGCTTGTTGAAACAGAAAGGTCTTCAGGGCACGTCGGAAAGTGCGAAGATCTGGGATTATTCGTATTCCATGGGGTATTTTGTTCCAAAGAGTAGGTGCCCCCACAGAGAAGGCTCTCTCCCTTGGAACTACTAGACGACATTGTTTTAATGATGGTACTATGAGTAGGCCTACTCTGTGAGAGCGTATTGGTTGGTGGGAGGTTATCGGTTGCAGCAGGTGATCTCGTAAGTACTCCGGTCCTAAGCCATGGAGCACTTTAAAGGTAAGAACCAACACCTTGAAGCGCACTTGGAAGGCCACCGGAAGCCAGTGCAGCTCGCATAGAAGAGGTGTTACATGTGAGTGCCATGTTGCTCCCATAATTACTCGTGCAGCCGCATTCTGGACCAGTTGGAGCTTCCGGGTGCACTTCAAGGGGAGCCCCATGTAGAGAGCATTGCAGTAGTCAAGTTGGGAAATGACGAGGGCTTGAGTGACTGTGCGTAATGAGTCCCGGTCTAGAAAGGGACGCAATTGGCGAATCAGGCGAACCTGATAGAAAGCTCCTCTGGCCACGGCTGTTATATGATCTTCTAAAGACAGTCGTGCATCCAGGAGGATGCCTAAATTGCGAGCTTTCTCTGCGGGGGTCAATGACTCGTCCCCAATAGTTAGTGATGGGACTAACTGGCTGTACCGGGACGTCGGCAGCCACAGCCACTCAGTCTTGGAAGGGTGGAGTCGAAGCCTGTTTCTCCCCATCCAGACCCGTATGGCCTCAAGGCACCGGGACATCACTTCAAGGGCATCATTGGGATGGTTTGTGGTGGAGATGTACAGCTGAGTGTCATCAGCGTAGAGATGACATTGCACCCCAAAACCACGGATGATCTCCCCCAATGGCTTCACATAAATGTTGAACAGGAGAGGCAAGAGGACCGACCCCACAAGTAAGGGGCCTCGAGGTCGATCTCTGTCCACCTGTCAACACTGACTGCGACCTGTCAGAGAGGTAGGATGAGAACCACCGTAATACAGTGCCTCCCACTCCCAGCCCCTCCAACCGGTGCAGCATGATACCATGATCAATGGTATCAAAAGCTGCTGAGAGATCTAATAGGACCAGGATAGAGGAACATCCCCTCTCCCGAGCCCTCCATTTTATAAATTTGATAAAATAAATTCCAATTTCTGGTATGATAGAAAGCCAAGCTGGACCTTCTGCTTGACATCCATTCAGCTGCTTGAAAAAAAAATGGTATCACCTGCCACTCAATCTTAAGGCCACTCAGCGTGTCCAGCTCCTTCAAACTCACTTTGTAAGTGGTCATATTGAGTCTTCTTTGTGGCCCCTCCTCTGAACCTGTTCTGGTGCCTCTGAATCAGGGGTGAAATGTTCCCGGTTTGGATCGGATCACCCGATCCGGTAGCGATGGAGGCGGGTGGTTCGGAGAACTGGTAGCAAAAATCCCTGCCCCCCCCCCACCATGCCCAGCTGAGCCGTACAATCATCAGAGGCTTTTTTTTTACTTTTAAAAGCATTTTTTCTACAACCTCTTCGGCCGAAAAAGTGCTTTTAAAAGTAAAAAAAAAAAGCTTCTGATGATCGCATGGCTCAGCTGGGATCATCAAAGGCTTTTAAAAGAAAAAAACCCTTTTTTTTCTTTTAAATGCCTCTGACGATCAGGCAACTCAGCTGGGATCGTCAGAGCCTCTTGAAAGCATTTTTTTATAACCTCTTTGCCAAAGAGGTTGCAGAAAAAACGGTTTTAAAAGTTTTTTAAAAAATGGCCACGCCCACCGTCACATTACCCCCACCCCCAAGCCACACCTACAGAATCGGTAGTAACAAATTTTAGATTTCACCACTGCTCTGAATGTTTTTTTTTTAAATGCATGTTTTAAAAATATTTGGGATGAAATTTCACCAGAGCAAAAGAAATTGGAATCATCCTTTGATCTCTAAATGTGGCTTAGAATTGCATTTTTTTTTTTGCAGTCCTATCACACTGCTGGATCAGTTTGCAATCAACCCCAATTCTAAGATTTTCCCCCCATTATCGAGGCCAGCATTCCCCCCCTCTCCAGGTTTCTGCTGCCACCATTCTGGCCTCTTCACGTATCATGTACATCAGCCTGCAGCCGCACAAGGAAACTGCCCTTTCAGAAGCTGGGATTGGAGGTGACATGGCCCCTCAGAAGATGGCTAACCTGCGATCTACTCAGCGTACTGCATGATCTAGGATGGCATTGGGCTCCTTTCCAGGATGCCCGGCAGGCCCCAAAGTGACTTGTGGCTGCCAGGGAGACAGGAAAATGACAAGCCCGAAGGCCCAGGGCTGCAGGTTAATGACACGCATTGTTGGCCCAGCAACACGTTTGGTTCAGCCCCAGAGGGAAGCCAGGGACGCCCAGGCAGGCATCAAAAACAGAAATCTGCCCTTTGCCTTGTGTCAGCCAACGCCTAGTTGGTTGGGTTGACTGAACAGGTCCTTTTCCAGTTCCCAATTCATGGCCACCTCTCTGAGCCAGCCCTCTGGGTATTTACAGGAACCAGGCTGAGATCTGCCCTGGAATCTGGGTCTTCCAGACCCTTCCCAATGCCGCAGCTCAGATTTTGTGAAAACCTGGTCCTGAATTACTTCTTGCTGGAGCCACAAACCTACACTGGAGTAAATAGGCCACAGGTGAAGGCACAGCAGCTTATTCTTTCACCTGCCTCCGTCCTTAGAGCTCCAGGCTACAAATGGCCCAGCAGCCGCTCAGAAGCCACACGTGAGCCATCTTTGGCTCATCTGCAGACATGCACAGTCTAAGAACAAGAAAGAGGATCAGTCTCTCGGCTAACTCATTCCTTCCCTGGCTGTGGCTTATGGTTCCTTGGGAATTCCTTCCGGCATAGCGTGTGTAGGTTCTGGCTTGCTATTGGCTCAGCTTCTGCCTCCCTGGCTTAGACATTCAATACACCCCCTCTTGATAACTGGCAGGTCCACAAGCACCCCTCTGACTTTTCTGCAATCTGTTCCACACCGGACCCCATGCCTGCTCTGCTCACTTACCTTGCTCGCTTGCAGGGAGCCTTGGTGTCTGTCTGAAGGCTTTCTGCCTGCAGCACTGGCAGAAATGTCCCCTTGAGAACCCTCATCTCCGCCCAGGTAGAGGTGGAGCCAACCAGTCGAGAGCACTCCAAGGTGGGGGAAAAGAGGAACCTGGCTCCCTGGTGCTCTGGGCAACATGTTCCCTGCCTCTGGATCAACTGTGGCTCATCCCTGGCAAACCTTTCTATGATGGTCCTCCCAGTTTGCCACCTGATTTATGTCAATTGGACAGGAAACAGAGAGAGAGACATCTTTTTGGCACTGCTGTTCCTCCAGAGCGTCCGAGAACTCCATTTGCTACAGGAAATTCTGCCAAACAAGGTCCCTTCCTTGATTCCAAGTGTGAAACCCTTCTCTTTCTGAAAGCCAAGAAGAGGCCACGGGCATCCCAGTTTGCATCATGGCTCGATCTGCTCTTTGGGCTGGCAATAGCAATAGCTCTTTGGGCTGGCTGGCAATCTTACGGAACACGAATCCCAGTGAAGACCATTTTTCAGAGACTAAGAACCAGGGCCCACCGGAACGGTGTTAGACTTAGGGGCAGAAAGCCGTCTCTGATCAACTGTTCTGCTCCAGATCAGCCTGAGCCTCCTGAGAGATCTTCCCATGTACAATGGAACCAATCCTTGCTTACAGCTGCTGCTCCCTAAGGGTATCCGGATAACAGGCCCTGCTAGTCTGCTCGAGTTTAGCCAGTGGCTTCTGGAAGAGAAGCAAGAGTTTGCCCCATTTCCCAGAAAAAAAGTCTCCACCTCTGTGGCTTGCTTTTGGTTAAGCCTCCACCTCAGCTTCCCGGGACAATTACAACAACAAACCCGCCCCAATTAGACTTAATGATCCACTCTTTCTATTCCCAGGGGGCTGAGAGTAGCAGCTCAGGTGTCAACAAAGGAAAAACACTGCTTAGTGGCAGATTGGTGCAGGCTTAACTGATGGTAGCAGGTACTGGGTAGCCTCCCCAAATTAATACACTGGAAGGGCAGCAGCTTCCTTTTATCCCCCCCCCTCCAACTTATATGGCATCTGCCAAGAGAATCCTGCTTTTCTACCAAACAGAATTTGGGAAAAGATCTACAGGGCAGCCTTTCATCAAAACCTTACTAGCTCTTCTCCAACAAGGCTGTCCCATATGCCAATGCTTGCTTTTCTCTGCTCCCTTGAGCAAATGGCAACGAGGGACTGACTATTCAGAAATAATGGCTGCAAAGAGTGAAGGAAAGAGAAGGGCCGGAGGCAGCACCTCAAGCTGTGAACACAAGCATGGGACTCCCATGTTCCTTCCACATTTCCTGCAGAGGGAAGCTAACTTGGGTTTGAATGGTGTGTGCCTTCAGATACCGAGGATCAAGGATGGGTCAGTGACAGACATTGGGAGAAAGTCTCCATCAAGCAAGGCTACACCACCAGACCAGATGCTCATTCCTCTGCCTTTAAAAGTAGTTTATTTCTATGTATCAGTTCAACATAAAGCAAAGGTCTTACAGAATCCATTCTGTTGACTAGGAGCATCTCTGGAGTGCCTGCCCACAAGGACTCCAGTCACCAAAAGGGAGACAAGGGGAGATGGGCGGGGGGGTGTCTCTGTTTACAGCAGGCCTTGGCGTTTCAGGTCTTCATAGGTCTTCTTGTTGACCACATTCCCACTGGAGTCTTCATATTCCTCCTGGAATGATAAGTGAAGCTGCTGACAGCCAAATGCAAAGCCAAACATCCAACACAACACAACAGCAAGACACCCCTTCTCTGTGACAGAACACGAGGATTTTGACCCATCTGAATTGAAAAGTTTCTGCACCAGGAGTCCCTTCTATTTTCTCTCTGGGCTGCAGGTATAACCTTGGAATACTCATGGATGACACCTCTGGGCCTGTCCATTTGTGAGGAATACAGTTTCCCCTTTTCCCCCTTTGGTTCAAGACTTGCTTGGCGGGAGGGTCTCTTCCTCACCTGCTGGCTGGCATTTTTGGTTTCTGTCCCACCCAGTGGTGGGTTGCCCCCAGTTCTATAGAACCGGTAGTAAAACTGGCGGGAGGCCCCGCCCACTGACCCTGACGTCACCAAAATGCTTCTGCACATGCACAGAAGAGTACGCATGCACAGCCCCGTTGCGAACCGGCAGTAAAGGTTAAGTAGAACCCACCCCTGGTCCCACCCCATTGCTGCAGCCAACTCTGTTTTCCTGCTGCTGTTCCTCTATGCCTAATTTTGACCCATGTAGTGTAGCTGCTGGCACCATTTTTATGACTTAGTTGCACTTGACTGATCTCTCATGCCCCCCCCCCAAAAAAAACATCTCTTCTCCCCTCTCCCCCTTTGAATGTTTTGGAGGCAGTTACTTTGCCATTCCATCAGGGCATTTCTCATTTTGCTATCCCTACTAAATGTTACACAGTATTACTAGGAAGTTAAGATACCATTCAGAAACTGAGGTATGTGTCTTGGCTGGAGTCGAGCCGTCTTTGAGAATGCACGATATCTTTGATATCTTTAATTACCCTACACAATGTGCAAGGCCTTAAGTTGTAATGACCTTTTATTGGTGCCAGCACACCCCAACAACCAGCAAACATAGAAAGGTTCTACAGCCTAAAGCTGGGGTGCTGCTTAAAGACCACAGCTGAGAGGCAGTTACAGGTATTCCTCACCTTACAACCACAACTGAGCCCAAAATTTATGTTCTTGAGCAAGAAATTTGTTACGTGAGTTTTACCCCATTTTAGGACTTTTCTCTGAATCACTGCAGTTCTTAAATTAGTAACACGGTTGTTAAGTGAATCTGGTTTCCCCACTGACTTTGCTTGTCAGAAGGTTGCAAAAGGTAATCACATGACCTGCAACCGTCATAAATGCGAGTCAGTTGTCAAGCATCCAAATGTAAATCATGTGACCAAGGAGATGCTGCAATAGTCATAAGTGTGAAAAACGGTATTAAGTCACTTTTTTCAGTGCTGTTGTAACTTTGAACAGTCACTAAGTTACTAAGTGTACCTGTACTAGGGAAAAAGTACTGTATTGTTCGGAGTATAAGACGCACTTATTCCCTCCTAAAAGAGGCTGAAAATTTGGGTGTGTCTTATACTCTGAATGGAGCTTTTCTGAAGCTTTTTTTCAGCCCTAACGAGGTGCTAGAGAGGGAAATCTTCTGTGCTTTGCCTGTTCCTTCTAGATCCTCAGCTGTGCTTTAGAAGCTTTTTTTCAGCCCTAACGAGGCGCTAGTGAAGCGATCTGTGCTTTGCCTGCTTTTCTCATTGCTGCTCCCTCAGCTTTTTTATCCCCAAGCAGGGGATTAAAAAAACCAGCAAACTAATGTGCTGAAGCTGACCAGACTAAGGATGCCAGCCAGATAAATACCTGGTAGGCAGATTTCCTCCCCCCCCCATTTTCCTCCCCAAAAACTAAGCTGCATTTTATACTCCGGTGCGTTTTATAATCCTAAAAATACAGTAGCTAACATTATTTCCTACATGTTAGTGATACTTCCACAGGATAAATTGTCCGGTGTGCTTTTTGTGGCATACTGGTGACTCTAGTAAGTTCTATGGTTTGTGAGTTGAAAAAGGAAATGTATACACAGATGCAAGGAAATATTTAAACTGCAACAAAAAGGAGACAATAAGATGCAGTGTGGAATGCCATAACAGCATTGGCTGCTTTTAAGTTGAGGCACCACTGAAGTCTGTCTGTGCTAAATGTCTATGGAGAATCTCAGTCATCCAGGTCCTGGTTGTCCCCAAAGGTGCTTTTTCAAGAGGCAACTTGAAAACTTGGACTTTCTGGTTTTTCTTTGAAGACGTTTCACTTCTCATTCCAGAAGCTTCTTCAATTCTGGAGAAGTGAAACGTCTTCTAAGAAAAACCAGAAAGTCCACTTGCCTCTTGAAAAAGCACTTTTGGGACATGTCTGTGCTTAACAACACAGGGATCGTCTCCCCTGTATATTGATGGCTTCGACATTCCTCTTCCTCCTCGCCTCCCCCACCACCACGAATGGCCCTGTTGATGTTGAGGGGGTCGCAAGGTTTCTGTGTTGAATCTGGTGCCATTTCCAACCCCCTGAGGTCATGCAGGAAAATGCTGAAGGCCGTTCCATTACTAAACAGAATTTCTTCTTTTTTGTTCTTTTGGTCAATGTAAGAAAAATAATGGCAGACCCTTTTTGGGGGAAATTGATTGTTACTAGAACCACAGACAAATCTTTGATCAATGTTATTAAAAAGGGAATCTATAGGAGAATCAGCCTTTCAACAATAGGAAGAAACTGATCAGATGTAATAGAGCTTTGAAAAAAAATATGCACAACTGTGGAAATAATTGGATAATTTGCCCCTTCCCATCCTAATGAATGAACTGCCCCAAGTTTGGAGTTACAATTGTATATGAAGACTGGCAAAACTATAAGTCATATATACAAAGTAAAGATGAGTATGTGCCTTCTGCTTTTAAAAAAAATACCATTTGTATTAGACAGGAAGGGGGGACAGCAGCAGTGAAAGAAAATAAGAAAGACTGAGTATTTTAACCTAGAGCCCCTCACTAGAGGAGACTTAAGAGTAATTTAAAGTTTTAAAAGATATCCTTTCAAAAGATGTAGTGCATTTGTAACACAATTATTAGCAAGGATGATTTAAAATGAAATTGGAAGAGTTACATAAAGTAATTTCTTACTGCAGCTCAACAGGTGTTTATCCCAGTGGCCAGAGTCAACCCCTGAGGTTATACTGAATCTCCAATCTGGTCCAAGGGCTCAGGTCTGCAGAAGAAGAGCTAAGAAGAACCCCCTCTACCCCAACTTACTTCTGTATCTGGCTGCCACCTTTCCGAAGCCTTCTGTTGCTTCAGCTTGGCCCACACTGAAAAACAGAGGAAGGCCAAGTCCTGCTTTGGTGCTGAGGGGGAGCTTTCAGAAGCTCCTATGAGATAATACCCCCCCCAAGGCTTTTCCCTGATGCAAGCCCAACCATCGCCACTCAACACCCCCTGCCAAGGCCAGGATACCCCCTTTCCCACCCTTGAAGTCAGGGGAAACAGGCTTTGCACCCACTTACATGACAC